ACACAATATATAGATTAATTAATTAATAGACGAATTTTCTGCCTAATAAGATGAAGTAAGTTGTTGATTTATTATTACATCTAAAGTTGAAATCCTATCCTAGGTTTCCATATACATTTTAAAGTCTTGACTCTCTTTTTTTTTTTTTTTTAACTCTCTTTTAAGTGGATAACAACGTGGCCACTTTGCTATCATGCATGCTGGGTTGGTCGCTGCCTATCGTAATTAAACCAGGTTTAGTTTACTAATTGCGCTGTCATAATCGCATTACTTACAGATTACTTACATTTTTCTTCTATTTTAGCATTTTACCCAAAAAGATCTGGTAGCTTCCGAAGTTACGTAATCCTCAGAAATAACAAAGATTTTTAAATTTACACTTTAATATAAGAAGATGTAAAAGAAAAAAATGAAAACTAAAAAATAAAATAAAGTAAAAAATCAATACTGTCAAGTTCCAACCCCTTAATAAAGATCCGGATAAACCCCTTGGAACCTCCATGAATCGTCACCAAGAATTGTCCAAAGATGCTCTTGAGGCACAAGTTATTGGGTTAAATTTTCCCCTCATCAATGTTTTAAAAGTATGAATATCTTTTGTGTTAGTAGAAATTAGCTCAAAAAATAAATTGGAAAGAAAAAAATAAAACGATTACGCCTGGAGTTTCGGCTTTCATAGATGAATATAAAGGACAATTTCATTCATCCAGATACGACCATACCCTGCGTTGTATAATGGTAAAAATGGCAAAATTAAATACTAACGTTCATAAATAATCATCGGCGCCAAAACATTTCTCATATCGCATGCAATTGGGTATGAAGAGAGGCATTTGTGCGCAATCTTACCCTTATTTTTTCATAAGACTAAAATGTCCAAATGATCCCTTACATTTTGGTTTACTTGATTTTACGTCCCTAACATTAACATTTCAATATCGTAGTCCCAAACATTATATTTTCACATTTTTTTGGTGTCATTTCACTGTTTCGGTCACTTTTCCGTCCAACTCGACATTGACCGATAGTTGACTTACCGGAATCAGGGATATGTTCATCTTTTTACTTAATTTGAACTTTCATTGAAATTTGAATCATTAAAAATATCAAAAAATTCACATTTAATTATTTAATTGCTAAAATATTATTCATTAATTTAAAATATTATTATAAAATTTAAAACTTTTCTTTTACATTATTTTTAAGAAATTTCTTTTTCTATTTATTATTTATGCTGGATATAAAATAAATATTAATTACGTTCCATTTTTAACTCCATATCACTCAAAAATTTTACCGCGCTACAGTCACTAATTCAAAATTCAATTTTTTGTTAAAAAAGAAAAGGCAAACTAAATTTTTTATCCGTATTTTCACCTACCAATTTTTTATTCGGTCGAAGTAAAAATTCCATTAGGACCAAAGGGAAGAAAATTGACGGGGCGAAAATTCGGATAAAAAATGGTTTATTTTAATTTATAGTTTGAATTGGAGATATAATTTAAAATGTGGTTTTAGTGAAAATTCAAAAAATTGTTGGGATAGAAATTCAAATAAAATTATTATATATACACCACCACCTCCACCGACGCCGCCCGCTGCCAGACCACCTCCTGCCACCGCCGGACCGCCGTTGGCCGGCGACCGGCCCGCCGGATTCCGGCGAGATTCCGACGACTTCGCTAGAATTTCGCCAAAATTCGGCCGGCCGGTCGCCGGCCGGCGGGGGCAAGAGGTGGTCTGGCAGCGGGCGGCAGTGGAGGTGTGGAGGTGGTGGTGTAAAATAATATTTATTTTATTTGAATTTCTATCCCAACAACTTTTTGAATTTTCACTAAAATTACATTTTAAATTATATCTTCAATTCAAAGCAATAATTAAGCCAAAAATTTAAATAAACCATTTTTTTCCGAATTTTCACCCCACAATTTTCTTGCATTTTTTTTAAAAAAAAAATTTGAATTTTTAATTAATTATTATAGCGCGGTAAAATTTTAGAAATAACTCAAGATTTATTGTAGCTGTCAAAGTCAAAAATCTTGGTTTTGTTTTTTTTTTTTTTAATTTGAATTTTGAATTATTTATTGTGAGTCGGTAAATTTTTAAAGTTACAGTGAGCGGTTAAAAGTGCAACATAATTAACATTTATTTTAGTAAAGAAAAAAGTAACTTTGAAAATAATTTAAATTTTAAAATTTTAAAACAATATTTTAAATTAATAAATAATATTTTAACAATTAAATAATAAATATGAATTTTTATAATATTTTTAATAATTTAAATTTTAATGGAAGTTTAAATTATATAAAAAGATGAAAATACCTCTGATTCTGACATGTCAACTGCCGGTCAACATCGAGTTGGACGGAAAAGTGGTCGAAACAGTGAAATGGGACCAAAAAAGTGTGAAAATATATTGTTTGGGACTACGATATTGAAATGTTAATGTTAGGGACATAAAATCAAGTAAGCCCAAATGTAAGAGACCATTTGGAAAATTTAGTCTTTTCATAAACTAATTCCAAACTAGAAATCGCAAAAAGACGAGGAGAGCACATAAACCTAATTAACGTTTCTATCATACATATGGCACAATACTTGTAGGATACGTAGGAAGACAAACCTTAATCTCTTTTTTCTCCATGACAATTTAGAGATGGGCTGTCGACTGTCGTCGATTGATTGAATCATTGAGGTTTCGATCAGGAAAAAATTGTAACATTCTCCATATCAAACAGACGAAAAAAAAAGAAGACGGATACCCTAATTTAATTGGTGAAAGTGCATAAATATATGTGTGTTATAATATTGTCTCTATCTCCAAATAATTTTTTTTTAAAAAAAATCATTTTAAGATTGAAACAAAAAAAAAAACTTCATAAGATTGGAAAATAACTTAGCATTGATGGGGAGGCATAATTGTCTAAAGTCGTGAGAGAGATGGAATGGGAATAGATCAATAGAAAGATATACTTCGGACCGTCATTTTGAAGGTGACAGTCTCTCTATGAATATTTAAGCATGCGACGCAGCGTTTCCATTTTGTGCTTTACCAATTCAGCCTGCCCTTTCTTTGACTCAGATAATATCATTCCTCCATTTCTTTAAAGGGTGTTGGATTAATTATTGCCCAGTCCCTTTCAAAACCTAGAAAAGTTTTATTGGAACACTCTTTCTAAAATTTTGAAACATATGTAACATGATCGAATATATATATATATATATATATATATATATATAAGTGATACTCCCTCCGTCCCATAATTATTGTCCAGTTTGAGTTTTTATTTCTAATTCAAATTATATTAAAAGTGAAATATCAAACTAAACAATAATTTTGAGACAGAGGAAGTATATAACAAGATTAAATGATTCGTGAAAAAAGCTTTAACCTCTAAATAGAGATCGAGAAATTTCACAATCAACCAATAGTCCAATAGAAAAAAATAGGGAAGGATCACTTAAGATATTGTCATGATTTAGGTTTTTGTCTCTCAATTTGTATCCAGAAAAAACAAAGAAGAAGAAGAAGAAGAAGAAGAAATGAAAATACAAATTTCTATTTTCCCTATATATACATGTTACAGTTAATGGAATACCATAACAACACAATCAATATTATATATTTTTTACGTTATATATCTCGTGTCTGAAATTACTGTCTTGACTAACTTATATTTGAAATGTTTTCATAAAACTGAAAGTCTCCAATTCATACAAACATATTTGAAACATAAGCAATTTTCCTACTTGGGTGGTAAGATATATGCATAATCTTTGGTATCACCATAAGGAAGCCATTAATTTAATGGGTTGGGACACGGTGGTATCTAAATGAGTGGTTTTTCTGATTTCAACAACCGACCCTTTTACCATCCGTACCATAGGAGGTGTTGATCTGTTTGGTTACTGCTGCAAATTAGATGCTTAGAGCCACTCAGTAAGTACCAAAGAAAGGTTAAAAATTCTCGAGGATAACTATATACTACATAAAACTGACTAAAAAACATATCTTTGGTCAAAGTATTGGAAGGAACAAGTGGTGGTAATGAGGAGATGTCACAACTGAAAAAAAAAAAAAAGGGTATTTCCAAAAGCAAAGGTTCCTTATTTGGCTTCATGCTTACCACTTAATTACCAGATTACGTACTTATTTAAATTAATTTAACCAACGCTTGTTGTAGAGCTTCTTGTCTTTAGTGGCGGAGGGAGGCGGCAAAGATGTGATGATCCCTTCCACCTAAAACTGTTAAAAGTTAAATATACTCTCATGTGTCTTGTAAAACTAATCTATATTTTAAGTTATGAATATATTATGAATCTTGCTAAAAATGTGAATTATTTTTTCAAGATGGAGGAAATATATTTTTTTTAAAACAAAAATTTCCTCCAAATTTTGATTCAAAATTATACATATGGATGGAATTTTCCCGCAATACTGTAATAAGTGATGACGGAACTAGTTCTTTTTTTCTTTTCTTTTTTTCCTTCTGAAATCTACAAACTCTCAACAAAAATCCTTTAGAACATAATAAGGCAAATACTCTCTATTATTCATGATAAAACGATACTATCTGAAAATAGTCGAGATGGTAATAAATCTTTATTCTGATAACACAATTAATCTTTATTCTGATAGCACGAATTCATTATATCATAACTTGTTTAATTTGTGGTATTTTGTTTTATAATTCCAACCAAAAACAGTTGCCTCTCATTTGTTTTGACTAATGGAATCAATATCTCAACACGAAAATTTTACCAAAGGTGGGTGATACTTTAGAGGGAAGAAAAGGGCAATGGCCAAGTGGAGGTAAAAACAGAGGGAAAACAAGGGTAGAGTAAAAGCGAGGGAAGTCCACAGAATGGGGAAAAGAAAGAAAGAAAACTACTGAAACACCGCGTTGGCGCGTGGGACCAAAACATTCACAAGGATGGTTCTACACTCTCTCAAATCAAAATCAAAGAAACCCCAAAATCTTTATCTGGCCTCTTATAAACCCACCTCCTCACCATATCTTTTCTTTACATTTTCTACACACTTCACCAATATCACAAACATAAATATCCTGCTCTGCTTTTTTTTTTTTTACTAAATAATATTCTTCGATTCTCTCCACCATTTCCTCAGATTTTGCCACTCTCCAAACACGAATTCAAAAGATTTCCATTTAGCTCTTTTTCCACAGCCGCTCGCTCTCTCAAACAACAATTCTTTCGGTTCCTTTCTCAGTAGATAAAAGATTTTCAGATAGATAGATAGATTGGTTGATTCTGTTCCTGCATGAAATGGAGTTTTTTCTAACACACAAGATATTGGGTTTGAATAGAGATTCACATTTCCTTCAAATGGGTTCTTAATTCTTTCTTGTTTTCTTTTTGTTTCCATTTGGGTTTATTCATCACTACAGAACTGTGTATCCCCTGTATTATTGTTTAGTTATAAAAAAGAAAAGCAGGGGAATATACTGTATATCTCCATATCTAGAGAGCGAGCGGCTGGTTTTGTTTCAGGATCTCTCTGTTGTTTTGTGGTGGTTTTTGCTATTTATATGTGCTTATTTTTTATTTTTTTTTTGTCAAATGGCATCACCAAGAAACAGTGGGAAATCAAAGAAAATCACTCAGAACTCAGCTCAGATGGAATGGAGTGGAGATAATAATAGTGGTCTTCAACAACAACAAGGCCGGGGATTTGATCTTGGCTTAGAAGAAAGGCAACAACAACAACAACACCAATGGAAGCCAGTTTTTGATGATGCTTCCATGGATAATAATAATAGGCCTTTCAAAAAGGTCAAAAGCCCTGAAAGATTACACCCTTTTCTTCAACAATTGGCTTCTTTAGATCGTCAACAACAAACTCCTTCTGTTGGTAATACCAATCCATTAGCTTCTTCTTCTTCTTCAACTTCTTCATCATCAAGGCATGTTTTTCCATTTGCCTTTGATGGATCCCAACAGTCTATGGAAAGTTTGTGGCAATTAAGATCACATTCACAAACATACGACAATCAAAACCAACAGGTACATAACCTCGGAGGATCGACCTCAGTTCATCCTCCTCTGCTTCGTCCACTTCAGCAGAATGAACAACAGCAACAGATGATCTCTTTTGCTCCTCAATGGTACCAAAACCCGAATCATCAGCAAGGTTTTGCATTCCCGTCTTATTTTGCAGGGGATGCAGCAACATCATCCCCTTATCAACAGCAGCAGCTTCTTCGGTATTGGAGTGATGCATTGAATTTAAGTCCAAGAGGAAGGATGATGATGATGAGCAGGTTGGGTCAAGGTCAGGATACAAGGACACTATTCCGGCCTCAGATTCAGCCAATTAATACAACCAAGCTTTACAGGGGAGTTAGGCAGAGGCATTGGGGGAAATGGGTTGCTGAAATTCGCCTTCCTCGAAACCGGACTCGCTTATGGCTAGGCACATTTGATACAGCAGAAGATGCTGCCATGGCTTATGATCGCGAGGCGTTTAAGTTGAGAGGAGAGAATGCAAGGCTCAATTTCCCTGAACTCTTCCTTAACAAGGATAATGATAAAAAAGAGGCACAACCCGGCGAAAGTTCGATTTCCTCCGGCATGGATAATAAGTCAGAAGAACCGGATGATCAAGCTCAACAAGGCCTTCAGGCTTCTATCCCAGAACTCTCACCAGAAATGCATCATCCACTGGCTGATGATAATCATCCTGGTGAGGATTCTGGACTCGGGTCGAGCGAAGTGACGGTGGCTACTGATGAAATTCCACCAGCCCAGATGGAGAATTGCTGTGTTCAACAATCATCTGAATTGGTTTGGGGTGAAATGACTGAAGCTTGGTTCAACTCAATACCAGCAGGTTGGGGTCCAGGTAGTCCTGTTTGGGATGATTTGGATACCTCCAATAATCTCATGTTACCACCTAATCTTTCTTTTGGTAGTAGTTCTAGTACTAATCTTCATCATCATCTTCATTCACAAAATTATCATGATTCTGATCATCCTCCCGCACACCTTGATAGTGCAGCATCCTCTTCCTCAAATTCATTTCCTCTGAAACCTTTCTTTTGGAAGGATCAAGATTGAAACTTTGATTTTAGGTCCATATAGATCAGTAGCAGTTGAGCACTACATTTGGTTTCACTTTTCTCCTCTCTTAAAACTCCTTGCAAGGGGATAGCAATTTTAGGCAAATCCCTCTTCTTTTTTCCTTTCTTGGTTTTCCATTTTGAACACATTTTAAACTCATTTATGCCCTAATATTTCTTCATTTTGACTTCCATTTCTTCCTGTCTTCTTCTTTTCCACCACAAATCCACAGGTTACTGACCTTTTTGCAGAACAATCTGTGGTACTCTTTTTAACATTTTGAGCCATTCTGGCTACACTTTCCTCATCTCACTAGTCCTCTTTCACCAGCCATTAGCGCAGAATTGGCTGCATATTTTAGGCCTGTAATTCTGCAATGGCAAAACCATGAGTGCTTTGCTTTCTGTTCTGTATAGGCCAGTTAGTAGTAATTTAGTGGTATGATTTTGCTCATGCTTTCGGTATCTAGTTTATTCAGCGTTATCAAAAATGGGGGGAGACTTTTTAAATTCCCTCCTTTGATTGTATCTATATATTCCATGCCTCGCCAGATTTTGATGAGTGAGGATGGAAAGTTTATTATGTACAAGTTTTTTCTTTTTTTTTAATGTAAATTGACTTTAGTTGTGTGCTATGGCTTTAATCATACTCCATCTGTCTCATAATTATGGTCCAGTTTGAGTTTTCATTTCTAGTTCAAATTGTACTAAAAGTGAAATCTCAAACTGGACAATAATTATGGGACAGAGGGAGTATTTTATTTGCAGTTTATGTTCTTCTCCTTTAATCTCACTATTTTATTTTTATTTTCCCTTTCTGATGGCTTTCATCTACCCAAACAACCTCTTTAAGTTAATCTCGGAGTAATGGCATTGGCAAAATGGAAGCTGCAATTAGCTTGCCGCTTTGGTCAAGATTATCCTTAAAATACATATAAAAATTTGGTCATGCAAAATAATAATAACTCAACAAAGAAAACATCTGCCATAGTTGCAAAAGAATAATACTTCTTCCGTCTCACAAACTTAATCTTACCGCTCTTAGGATTCTTTTGTATTTTTTTAGCTCATTAGTTCAATAAAAACTCTATTTATTTGAAGTAGTTAATGTGCCTATCTTTTTATTTTCTTTTTTCGAAACGCAATAAATAAATGACAAACTTGACCTAGATTCACCAAATTAATTCAACTGTTATGACCTTGATTTCTACTAAATAATAATGTCTATACCATGTACAATCATGCAGGCGTAGTAAACACTAGCAGGGCTTGTTGCTCAAGACTCAAGAGTCAAGTAATCACTATAGGGCAAACGCCTAAGGGTTGTATTGTAGTTTGAAATCATTATCCTATGGTAGTTTTATCTAATCTTCCTTACAAAATGATACACAGTTGAAGTTACCATTCATTTTGATAAATTTTTGTTTCTCAAAAAGAAATTATTCTGCTCAAATCCGGATGAACACCCGGGGTTGATATACCAAAAAGAGGTTCCACTTCATTTGGGTTGAAAGCATAAGAATCTAGTGTCAAATGTTCTAAATTATCTTGTTGCATATTCTATCAACTACACAAAATGCTTTATGCTTAGGAATTTTTCTATCCCTTAAGCAGCCATTAACTACTTATCGGATCTACTACCATTTACTTTCTTCAAAAATTAATATATCTAATAAATGAAGAGATAATTAACTAGTTAACTTTGGAATAAATAAAGCAGCGTGCGTTTATATTAATGAAATTGTTGATGTAGCACTAATTAAAATATCTTGAAACCTTCTCAGATGATGTTAGGGTTAATGACAAAATATGATTCTAACAAATTAAGGGGGCCCTAGTTAGCCGGCCAATGATATCAGCTCTATTTTTTTTTCCATAACTATGACGGCAAGATATTTAATAGTGCTCTTAGGTGATGAGAAAATGATAAGGTTTAAAAATTACTGTGGATAACGTAAAAATTAATTAAGTAAAGTTAGTAAACTATGATCTAATCTTTGTGCTTAAGACATCAACGAATTTGATTCATTCAAAAACCTTAGGATGGTCCCCTCCTAATTCGTGGAAAACCTAAACCACGCTCAACAGTTTGTTGTCTTGGCAACTTTCTTTTGCGAAGTAAACTAACTATTCACTATATTCTTTTCGTCCCAAAAATAATTATTTTCACTAGTTTTGATAAAATAAATAAAATAATTATTTTGAGACACAAAGAATAATATTTATTTAATTTTTTTTTCATCACTTACGTACTAATTTTGTACATTTCTTGCATAAGATCACCTCAATGATATCGTGATTAAGCAAAATTTTCACACCTGCATAGTATGGTTTCGACATTTATACGTAACCAAAACAGTAAGACATGTCATAAAAGTAGTGATATACTGTAATTTGTAGCAAACTTTACTTCAGAATGCCTCTGGCTACCAACAATTAAGTTTTACTGTCTCGTAAGGTTGGTTAAGCACGAAGGGTTTTTCCTTAACAAGATGGTTCATCTAATATAGGTTGATTACTTGAATTGAAATACATATTTTGGAAGAGTCCAAAGATAGATTTGTTTTGTAATCTTGAAACGAACCAAAAAAAGGGTTTCCAACTCAACTCTCCATCACCCGATTGGTCGGTAGCCGTCGGTGGTCCACTTTTAGAAAGGCAAAAATAGATCGCTTGCCCATATGAATTTGGAAATTATTTTGACCCTCCCTTCCTTCTTTTTTTTTTTTTTTTTTTTTGTCTCACTTACCCAAGGAGAAAAAAATAATATTGACCAAGAACAAAATTATATTGCAACACAAGAAAATGTCAAACATTTTCAGGTGGGATTAATCAAAATTGGCTTGCAAAGGGTGGCAAAAATGGTGGACCTAGGTCAGTTAAAATTAAGTTACCAATTATGGGAGTACTGCAACGCTTCACTAATGTCCCCATCTCATCGATGAAATGCCGCCTAAACATTTGACGTAGGATTTTTTTTTTTTTTTTTTGAAATGGAAAAAATATTCAATCGACGACCAAAGAATATGATTTGATAAGTTTGTTATCATCTTTCTACAAATCGCTAGCTCTATTACATTACAAGTAAAAGAGAAATTAATAGTTGTATTTTAAGGTACTTAATTTAATTAATGGATGTAGATTTATGCAGTCACGCCTACTGAACCATCTCAAAATAAGTTTATTTGAAATCTAAATGTCATGTGATTCAATGGAATTTAGATTAGGGGTGCGAAATATTAAAGAGGTCAAGTGCACTAATTTTTTAAAACAATATATTAATTTTTATTAAAAAATACTAATGTAATTTTATTTTCTCATTCGGCGAACTACCACAAAATGTTTAGAACTATTTCATTAATATTCTAAATATTTTTGCCACAAGAAATCATAATGTGATGTGGTCCGAATTTATATTTTAAGATATATATTTTTTGTGGAAAATTTTAGAGCAAAATGTTCTAAATTTGACAATTTTTTTATGTAAGAAAAAAAGAACATACTTCTATCTATTACATCAAAACAAATACAAGAAAAAAAAAATAGTATAATTAACTTGAATTTGACATCAAATTTGTTCACCTGGCAAATTGTTTTGAGCATTTTATAAATTTAGTTTTTCTAATTATCAATTTAGTATACTAAAATTCTTTGGGCTTTTATTTTTTTTTTAATTTGGTCTTTTTTTTATGAAAGGTAAAATTTCATTGATCAATCTACTCGACCAAATACTAGAAACCTACTCTATTACATACATCACAATATTTCCTTAGTTGACAGGAATACCACCTGGTGCAAAAACAACTTCTCACTATTCCTATATTTATGACAACAACCCAAAATTCTCCACTTTATCACCTACTGAATATTTACAAATATAGTTTCAACACTGAGCTTCATACCTCCATGAAAAACTCGATTTCTCATCCACCAAACACTATATACTACTGCTGCTAAAATAGAAAACGGTACATGTTGCTTGCATTTACTTTGCTTCCAAATTCTAGGCAGCCTGGATTTCCATAGTTCCATGTGATCGGGGATGTTGTTACAGCAAAGCCAGACTGCAACTTGCTGCAGTAAGTGCCTGGAATACTGACACTGAAAGAAAAGATGTTCCATACTCTTAGCCATTTCTTGACACAACACACAAAGAAAGAGGGTCTCAACAATATGCAATCTGACCATTCTCTCTGCTGACCATTTGGGCCTTGAGTTACAATGTCTTATTATTAAATGAACATTTACGTGTTATTAAAAAATATGATTTTAGAACTATTATTTTCTTTTGTAAAACTTTGCTATTTCATTTCTTTTTTTACTTAAAATTTGTGTATATTGAGTGTAAAAAAACATTATTTCTAATCATTTTGTGTAAATTAACTCTAAGCTTTTTTATTATTATCTTAAAATTTTCAGAGGGGGGGGTGCGAAAATGACAAATTTATATATTTTTTAATAATTACATTATATATTTTTTAAAAAATTAACAACAGAGGGGGTGCCGCTGCACCAGCTGGCCACCCCCTGGCTCCGCCACGGATGTGATCCATGTGTACTTATTTGTTTATTTATTGTTTTCAATGATGGACATCGTGCTATATAATATATATATATATATATCTAATTTACATCCTTGTTTAGTGTTTATTGATCGGGATTTTGCTATCAAGTTTTTTGGATGTTAATTGTAGGTTAACGTAGTTTCCATTTTACCAGGTTTCCTTGTTTATTCATCAACTAAAGAATTTAGTGAGGACATTTTCCTACACATTATTGGTCGTATCATGTAGAATAGTACAACCTAACTCATTTAGGGTGGGCACATGACAATTATCTAAAGTCGGAATGAGGTAATCAGTATGGCAATAAATTTTTTTAAAGTGTAATGGTTTTGAAATTCAAGCTTAATTCAAAGAAAAGTATTGTAAATATGAGAATTTCTGGAGCGCGGAGTGCAGTCAATCCGTATCGTGGGGTTGGAAAAGAATATTATGGGGAGGGATCTCATCAAGAAAGGAGTAAGATGGAAAGTTGGCGATGGCAAAACCTCAACCTTAAATAGGAATGGATTCTGAAGGTTACAAATCCTTTGGCAATGAGGAGTCTACAAGGGTGGGAAGAAAGATTGAGGGTGTCGGATATCATTAAGGGTCTGGAGAAATGGGATATGCAGCTGATCAGGGCCATTTTTCCAGGAGATGTAGTTCCATATATACAAGGCTTGTATGTCGAAGGGAAGGATCTTCAGAATTCCGATAAGCCTTATTGGGGAGACGAGCCGAGTGGCTATTTCATGGTCAAATTGGCATACCTCTGAATCTTGAGGACGAAGTCTCGCCATCTGCATCGGAGGGTGGGAATAGAGATCACTTGTAGGAAGAGGGATTTTGAAATAAATTATGGTCACTGGAGGTTTCTATGAAGGTAAGATTTTTCTTATGGAGAGTGTCGGTTAATGCGTGTCCAACTGCGAGAGGGCTGTGGCGCAGGGGTAGGTTAGTAACTCCTATATGCCCTAGATGTGGAGTGGAGGAGGAGACGGTTGAGCACATGCTGCTGGAGTGTGTAGAAGCGCAGCTGGTTTGGAGAAAACTACGGTTTGGTTTTGATTTCTCGCAAGGAGATAGGTGTGGGTTTCGCCATCGGCTTAAAGGATGGTTATGTAATGCTCCGACGGAGGAGGATAGAAAATTATCGGTTTGCATCTTGTGGGCTATATAGCTGGCTAGGAACAGCCAAATGTGGAATGGAGAGGACTGGACGGCAAACAGAGTTCTTCAAGAGGCGAGGGACATCACTAGTACCATGGTCAAGTGGAGATCAAAGAGGACCTATATGGAAAGAGTTGTTGGAGGCCAAAGAGAGGAGAATAATGGAGAAACCTTGTGGCTGAGGGGTGACGACCAGCAAGGAAGTGGCCCCAGCCAATCTGGTGAGCTAGTAGAAATACAAGTGGACGGTTCGTTCAAAACAGACCTGTGCAAGGGTGGCTGTGCACTGGTGGTCAGGAGTGCTCTAGGAGGAGTGATACACTCCACAGCGAGGGTATGTGGGGCCATAGAACTGACACAGGTGGAACTTCTTGCAGTGTGAAAGACCATAAAAACAGTTCTTTCCTTCGGGTGGACAAGCATCCACATCCTAACATATTGTACAAAGGTAATTAGTCACCGTTGGAGTCCTAAAGGATGCCTATTTGGTACGCTAGTTTGACAAAGGACATTTTGCAAGCCGCAAAATACTTTACTATTTTTGTAAAATTACTAAGGTTAGCAGAGATAGGGTTAGTCTGGTTCACGACAGAGCTTCTTGTGTAATCAGATCAAATCTTGAGTAATGAAATAGTTCTTTCTTATCAAAAAAAGAGGTTGAAATTAATTAGGTTGCATAAATATATTTTCCAGTCGAACTTTTGAGAAAACTACTCAGCTACTCTTTTCAAATCAAAAAGTCATATTTATTGTATTTTCCCCTTTTTATTGAACGGAGAAGGTGGCATTATATATTTTATTTTGGGTGTTATATATGTTCAAGATGTGTTTTACTTTCATCTTAGAACTTTCATATTTTCGTCAGTCTAGCCAAATGTGGACACCGCCAATAAATTTTCAATGCAATAAGTGCACGTTGCACCACGTCATAACTAGATACTCTCTTCGATTCTTATTATAAGATATTTTGATTTTTTCTATGTTTTACTTAGTATGTTTTTTCGATTGAAAAAAAAAATCTTAAATGCATACTAGGAAATAAGGTTAAGGTTTTTTTTGTCCAATCGAAAATAACAGAGAATAAATCAAAACGCATTATAATAAGTATCGAAGGGAGTATTTTATTACATTTCAGAGAGTGCTAATTTTGGGGAAGAGAAACATATGTAGGAGCAAAAAGATTAATAGTTATTTCTTAATTTATGCATGAGATATTTTTTCCGCTATTGTGATTCGACTTTTAATTTTTCATGTATTGGTAAAACTTAATTATACTCTCTAAAGTCCTAAAATGAGATGAGAGCCCAGCTTTAGAAAATGGGTTTAGTTGCCCAACTTGCTCAATGAGGCCCTTGTTCAGAAAGTGTTTGAGCATCCAAACGAACTGGTAAGGTGTCCACTACTCATTTTCTGGCCCAGTCCAGCAGCATACAAACATGGGGATTTCAGTTCCAGATTTTTCTTTTTTGCCTTGTCAGCGTGGGAAAATTGGAAATCCAATACTCAAAATCTGATTGGAGGAAAGAAGCTGACATGGCAGTTTGCCCAGCTCTTATCCCATCTCATTTCTGATTTCCCCAGCCCAGATAGCAACGTTTTCTATAACATAATCTTCCCCATAAAATGTTCATCTTTTGCATGCAAAACCCGAGTGATTAAAATCTTCAGTTTCGATTCAGGAACATATATAATCTCTTGGAGTAGTTTGGAAAACAACCCAACTGAATTGAATGGCTCTGCAATCTGCAACATTACTTCCTTACTCTCTATCAATCCGTAAAGAGGTACTTTATTGTCTTTTAATTGGCTGTCTGCTTATAATAATTAGCATTAGCCCGTCATTCAGCATGCTGAAAGTGGCTGTTCTTGTTTAACAGAGCAAGTGGAATGCTACTCTGAAGGAGACAAGTCTGTTTGGAGTTCCACTGCCAAGTAATTTTAAGGCTGATACAATCTCTTCTTGCAGATTGAGCGAGGTAATGCCTGTTGGTTGCTGATATTTTTCATTTTTTAGGAAGGTTTTGGAATGTCTGTTTCATCAATTGAAGATTTGTTTTTTTTTTTTTTTTTTTTTGTAATTAGGAGTAAGATTTGAAGCAATAGAACTATGTTAATGACTACGGTATTGAGGGGCAGTTGCATTTTAGAGGACTCCATTTTAGAGTAATGATGGATTGGTATATTTGCGCCTCCTCGTTCTATGCTGTTGATCAATTTCCCATTCTAATTTTGAATAAATGTTCCCAATTGCTTATCTTTATTGGACGAGAAAAACTGCCTGGTGTAAGTGAAGATATTTTTCAGTTTTGTACATTCTGTTCCATTGGATATTCTGTAAACCTTGCTTTTGCCAAGAACAAGAAAGTCAGTGCACTCTCCATGTGAGTGTCCATATACTAAGACCCTTTTGGAAATGATCATTCATGTAGTTCATGATAGGGCTTTCTGAAGTTTCTGTTCTATAGAATGGGGATGGCGTTTTAATTTTTAGCATATTTGGAAATCATTTGGAACTTACGAAAAGTTGATGTAATCGGCATTTCTATCAAGTTTATATAGATGCAGTGTGTACAGTACAGCCAATTCTATGCTATTAAGATTGAAGCATACAAAATGTCTTGAAGGACTTGGCTAAAGTTTATCGAACTAGAGTTGTTAATGCTTATATGCATTTTATTCCATGGCGCAGGATTTCAAGAGGAGATATTCACTCAGTACCATTAGGGCTCAAACTGTTTCGGCACCAGAGATCAATCAAGCTTCATCAGATGGGAAGAAAACTTTGAGAAAAGGAACTGTTATAATAACAGGAGCATCTTCTGGTTTAGGTCTAGCCACAGCGAAGGCTATAGCTGATACAGGAAAATGGCATGTTATTATGGCTTGCAGGAACTTCCTCAAGGCGGTGAAAGCTGCGAAAAAAGCTGGCATTTCTGAGGAAAACTTCACAGTCATGCACCTTGACCTTGCTTCACTTGATAGTGTCCGCCAATTCGCAGATACATTTAAACGATCTGGTAGGCCACTTGATGTGTTGGTTTGCAATGCTGCAGTATACTTACCGACAGCAAAAGAGCCAACTTATACAGCTGAAGGTTTTGAGCTGAGCGTTGGCACAAACCATCTTGGTCATTTTCTTCTGGCCAGATTGTTATTGGATGACCTGAAGCAATCAGACTACCCACAGAAGCGTCTTATAATTGTTGGATCCATAACTGGTAAACCTTACTCCCACTTTAATCTACATTTTGTGATACTATGGTATTTGGAACTGTTGTTTGTTTCCTAATAAAATGTTGAAGCATCAACCTGTCCCCAAGTAGAAAACCCAAATTTATAGAATCAGTATGTTGATATGAAATAATATATGATTATGTGAAGAACAGGTTGAAAATAAAAGTGAATTTGCTGTCAGATTAGTCATTAAACTCAAAAAAAAAAAAAAAAAAATTCCTTTCAAGCACTCCAATTCCTGAAGCACTGGCCTATGTAATCATTGAATCTAATGGAGGAATAATGTTTACATTTTAGCCCGAGCATAGGGATTCATCATTTTCTATTGCTTTTCTTCGATCAGGAAACACCAACACCTTAGCTGGAAATGTTCCACCTAAGGCTAACCTTGGGGATCTAAGAGGACTTGCCAGTGGCTTGAATGGGCAAAACTCCTCACCAATGATAGACGGCGGAGAATTTGATGGTGCCAAAGCATACAAGGACAGCAAAGTGTGCAACATGCTCACAATGCAAGAATTTCACCGTAGATTCCATGAGGAGACAGGAGTCACCTTTTCCTCCCTTTACCCAGGTTGCATAGCTGAAACCGGTCTTTTCAGGGAACACATTCCATTGTTTAGGCTGCTCTTTCCACCATTCCAGAAATATATCACCAAAGGTTATGTTTCTGAAGAAGAAGCCGGGAAAAGACTTGCTCAGGTAAGCTTTAAATGTTGATCTACCCATCCCTATGAAAATCTGGTTGCTTGTAAAAACTTGGCATAACTTGTGACCTTCTCTTTTCTTAATGACAGGTTATAAGTGATCCAAGCCTATCAAAATCTGGTGTGTACTGGAGCTGGAACAAAAACTCTTCTTCATTTGAAAACCAGCTTTCGAAGGAAGCCAGCGATGAAGAGAAGGCGCGCAAGCTATGGGAAGTCAGCGAAAAGCTCGTGGGGTTAGCCTAAAGAAAAACTGATAAGTTTAAGACTTAGGATTCAGTGATGATAAACTGATAATCAAGGTTTTCTGTAAGTATTAGATGTTTGACTTGAAAAATAGTTATAGATGCAAAACCATTCTCCCCTCAGGCTGAAAAGTGAGCCCCCTTTTTGTACAGACGACGTTTAAACAATAGCTTTTGCACTTTTCTCATGTAACCCTTCCATTTCTCTGTTTTGCATGTTTTTTGCTATTGAGGTTTCATAATGTGGCAGTCATTTACATCAATGATATTCCCATCCATTAACTATAAAAGGCCTATAATCCCGAATGAGTTATTCCCTCGCGGCTTATTTATAAAGCATTACAACAAAAGTTCATCAAAATTTGTGCCTTATAAATAAGATCCGATGGAATATTATTTGTCCGATGAAATATTCACTCGTCCAAATGAATATGGGAGGAACTTGTCTAGTTAAAATCTCAGTAAATTACTCATTGATCAAACGCGTTATAATTTTGCACGAGAAAAAGGAAGAAAAAGAAACAACATGTGAAACAAAATCCAAAACAAGTCTTGAAGTCAACCGCGACAAAATGGTATAACTAAACTTTCCACCGCGGCAATGGTCATTTCTTCTTATTGGAGAGAACTGAAGGAACCAAAAAAAAAAAAAAGGTCAAAAAACTAAAAAGTTGTACAGCAGTAGTTGGAGAAAAATGGGATTAATTTCAATAATTATTTCCAGATATCTTCGACACCAGGAAAGTCTTTCCACCAAAGAATTTCTCACACACACACACACACACACAGTCTCTCTCTACTGTACAGACAACTACACAGAGCAAAAGGGAAGAGGCGATTTGAGCTTTTAATCTAACCTTTGTAAAGTAACTGGGGGAAGAAAAAGATTCAATCTTTGAAGATCAGTTTGTCAGTCCGACCTTGAGTTCACCACTCAAAAGCAAGTTCTAATGGACTCCAAGTCCTTCAAATTCATAACCCACCAATCATTCTTCGCGGCCGTAAGGGAACAGGACCTTGAGGCCATCAAGAGGCTCGTACAAGATCATGGGTCGGATCCATCTTCTTTGATGAGCTTACAGAATGATGCAGGAGAGACCGCTCTGTATATAGCTTCAGAGAACAATTTTGTTGAGGTTGTTACCTATTTTCTGAACTTCTGTGATCTGGAGATTGTGGTGATCAAGTCTAAAGCTGATATGAATGCTTTTCATGTTGCTGCTGCTCGTGGACACTTGGGTAAGCTCATCAATTCGATCTTCTGTGTCTCTTGCTTGATTGTTCAATTTTTGTTTCTTCTTGTGTTTCGATATGTGTATTTAGATGGTTGTAAATCAAGTCCGAAAACAGAATTGAAGTTGGGGAATGAATGACTAGTGAAAAGGTTGCAGGGGTTTTATTAGTATAGTTTTTTTTATCTTTGTTTGGATTGTTTGATATCCGGGTTTTAGTCCTTGTGTAGTATCAGACTAGGTCCTTAATTTGTATCGGAATTGTTAAATAGAGATGAGAAATATATTTTGTCCCAACTATTAATAAGTCTTTTGTTGGTTTGTTTGGCTGATGCCTACCTTAGGGACTAGAAAACTGAAGGAAATTCAGAAGATGGGAAAATTCCTGAGTGTTTGAGAGTCTGTCAGTCTGTCTTTTCTGGTTTTCCTCTTGTTTTTATCAATGATAAACTACAAGGCATGCCCAAAGGATCAGTAGAAAATGATCTACTTCATGTTAATTTGGAAAACGATGGAATCCTTGGTGCAATTACTATCTAGTTTTGAGAAGGGAATCGATATATGATCATTTTTCACCAGTAATCAGGTGGATTGTTATTTTCATATTTCCTGTTCTGTAGCTGAAGTAAAGTTTGTCAGCAGAATATTGATATTTGTTTGTCCCAATAATTTCTTCTAGCTCACTAAATTTCAATTGATCTCATCCCTTTGTTTACTTACAGGTGAGGTCACCCTGTGTACTTTGATGTCCAGCTGAAAAACCCTCCATAAAGTTAGAGTGCTTGATTGAAATTTAAAGATTCCTGGAATACATATCAAATTTTCAGTGTCTTTGCCATATATATTACTAGTCTAGCAATTTCCATATGGAGGTGTACATTACAATCCGAATAATGAATAATCAATATAGTAGGTTGAAAATCCTGTGATAGTTTCATGACATGATATGCTCTTACCTGCAGAAATCGTGAAGACATTTTTGAGCATGTGGCCTGAGCTCTGTAGCGTTTGCAACTCTTCAAACACAAGTCCCCTTTACTCAGCTTCTACCCATGGACATGTAGACGTGGTGAATGCCATATTAGATGCTGATATAAGCTCCATTCAGATTGTGAGGAAGAATGGGAAAACTGCATTACATACAGTCGCGAGATATGGCCTTGTACCCATTGTCAAAATTTTAATTGAAAGAGATCCTGGGATTGTGTCTATTAAGGATAAGAAGGGCCAGACAGCACTGCATATGGCTGCAAAGGGTCAAGATGTCACAGTTATAGAGGACTTACTTGATGCTGATCATTCAATCTTAAATGAACGTGATAAAAAGGGAAATACAGCTATTCATATAGCTACTAGGAAAGTTCGCTCTCAGGTAATACTGTGCTGGTGCTCTCAACTGATTGCATTGATGATCCTTTCTCCACTGAAAGGGCTTTTTAGGCATGTTATTTCTTTTAATTACTTTTACCCTGCTTCCTTTCTTTGACAACTCTATACCTCAAAATTAAAGGTTCTCTTATTATTTTGTTCAACGGAAAGGAATGAACTGAATAGGGTAAATTTGAATTGAATTGTTATTATTTTTTAAAAAACTTCTTTAGCTGTATATTCTTGTACATTCTCAATCAAAGCTGATAATAAACTGCACATGTTTGCTTCCAGTAAAGTTATAAATGTCATCGTACAACAGCATAACCTTCGTTGTTCTTCATCATTTGGAAGTGTTTCTAGATGAGTTTGTGATGAATACCATATTTATATCTTTCCCAAAGGAGAAAGAAGGATACTTTTCTTAGTGATGTTATAGTCAAGAGGGAGATACTGGCCACATTATTAATTGTGAATTTGGTGTTAACCTATCTGTCGGGAACTAGACTAAACAGAATCTAACAGAGTCCCGGCATGTTTGCCCTGCATTTTTACTGAGATTTGACTTTTAAGCATATACTTAATATAGTCTTCTTGTGTTAATTGGAAGATGATGCTGGTTAATGCTTTAGAAGTTTTTGTTGATGCTTTGGATTTATTTAGTTGATGCTTTGGAAGATGATGCTGGTTAATGCTTTAGAAGTTTTAGTTGATGCTGATTCATGAAGATGATGCTGGTTAAATTTCTTACCTTGTGAAAGCTGATTAGTTCCCCTTTCAATTTATTTTTGTGGGTTATTATCATTTCTTATTTCTATTAGCCCAGAATTAACTATGTTGATTTCATCCCACCTATTCCAAACGACACATGAAAAAGAATTTTCCTTTTAGTTTCAAGGAAGTTTCTCTATTAATTATACCTCTTGATTTCAGATATTAAGCTTTTTGCTTTCCTACACGTCCATCGAAGTCAATGCCATTAACAATCAACATGAGACTGCAATGGACATAGCTGACAAACTCCAATATGGAGTGCCAGCTTTGGAAATTAAGGAGGCCCTGCAAGAGGCTGGAGCTAAACATGCAAGGTATATTGGCCAAGTTGATGTGAATAAGGAACTCAAACGGGCCGTGAGTGATATTAAGCATGAAGTGCATTCTCAGCTACTGCAAAATGAGAAGACCCAGAGGCGGGTTTCTGGCATTGCCAAAGAACTAAAGAAAATCCATAGAGAAGCTGTCCAGAATACTATCAACTCAGTAACGGTTATTGCTGTCCTCTTTGCCTCCATAGCGTTCTTGGCTATGTTCAACTTGCCTGGCCAGTATTATAAGTCTGGACCAGAAGCTGGAAAGGCTTATATATCCGGAACAGTTGCCTTCAGAGTATTTTGTCTCCTGAATGCGACCTCGCTTTTCATTTCTTTAGCAGTAGTTGTTGTTCAGATCACTTTGGTAGCATGGGACACGACATCTCAGAAACTAATTGTTTCAATTGTGAACAAATTAATGTGGGCTGCCGGCATCAGCACATGTGGAGCATATTTAGCCATAGCATTTGTAGTCGTGGGAAATAAGAGCACTTGGATGGCCATCACTATAACAGTTGTTGGCGTACCTATTCTTGTTGGAACTCTGATTAGCTTGTGTTACTTTGTATTTCGGCAACATTTTGGGGTTTTTGGGAGTGATTCTCAGAGGCGGATTAGAAGGGCAAGTGGAAGCAAGTCATTCTCATGGTCATATTCTGCTAATATTTCTGACATGGAAGACTACAATTCCGATGATAAAATCTATGCTCTGTGAAAATATGAGGCATTTGGTCGGACTGATTACCTTCTGGGGCCTTGAATGCCTGCAACTGGTGATTGTAGCATGTGCTCATTGTTGGCCATGCTTCATTTCTTACCGGTATGTCCTACTGAAGCTAGTTTTACAACTTGTGCAGTTCTGATTTTGAAATACCTAGGAGATTTTGTGGTGTCTGGTTGTATCTGTAGAAATAAGAATGTAGATTTCTTGTACATATGCAAGAGAGCTGTTGAGTGATTAAAGGATTTTGATCTCGCTTTCGTACCCAGTTGACTCCTTGATGATTCGGGAATTGGATTGATAATGATGATATTAAATTCCTTCAGAACTTCAGGACATGCTCCAGCTGGGAGCTTGACTACTATATTAAAACGTATAATATGATGAATGATTCCATTTCTCTGATTTATGCTCCTTCATTTGCATCGATGCTACCTTGTTAGCAGGTTTTTATTGGAAAAAATAGAGCTACCTTGTTGATAGTTGCAGAACCGTTTACTTAAAAACTGATGTAATGGCCTTATCTGAGGTGGTGAAATGGATCATCCAATCCATCATGACATGGTCTCCGATTAAAAGTATAATACTAGTATGAGAAAGTGACGGGCCAAATGAAAATACACTAGAATGTCTATAAATTATACTCCTTCCGTAGGACAATAATTATGGGACAAAAGGAGTAATACTATTGTGATCAAACAAAATTTATTAATATAGAGAATTATTAAATAATAATCGATAGATTAATAAATTATAGTAATTCAAAAAATTTCAATAAGAAAAAAGAACCGTCACTAAATTCCTTAATCTTCAATTGTCTTTAAATTCGAATCAATCAAGTATTAAAACTCTTCTGAATACTGAAAGTCCATACACAGTTCATATCATCTCCATAGACTAAAACACTAAAAGATAAATTTCAATAGTTCATAGTTTATAAAATATTTAAATTATTAATTTTCTTTTAGGGTAAATATTAATTTATTATGGTATTGTTGGGACCTATAGATATATATTATCTTATCATTTTACTGATTTTGTTCGTTTTTTATATTGGTCCCAAATTGAAACTTGAAAAAATTATTAATTACTAGAAATTATTAATTTATTGATTATTAATTTACCAACACTCTACTATATACAGTACATTGTATAACTTGTGATTCGAACATCTTCTCTTGACGTTGTGTGTGTTTTTTTGGGGGGTAAATTAGCAATTTAGTTTCAATGTTAGGAAAATTTAATAAAATACTCTCAAATTATCGAATTACAGTAAGTTTTAAACATTTGTGTCAATCTAGTAGTCTCAAAATGTTGATAAAACCCAAAAATAGATTGGTCACTTTCAACTCTGGTACTTTTGATGGATTTTTCATTAGCCCTGGAACTACAAAATAAAAGGGGAAAGCGGAGAAGGTATAATTATAATTGAATTTTTCGTTCGATATTTATTACTCTCTCCCTCCGTTCCATAATTATTGTCCAGTTTGAGTTTTCATTTCTAGTTAAAATTATACTAAAAGTAAAATATTAAACTATACAATATTTTTAGGACAAAGAGAGTAGTATTGATTAAATTGAACCAAACGATTCATTTCCTCATTTGAGAGTCAAACATCAATAATCAAATCAGAATCTTCATTATGATGGATCCTTAAATCATTTTTATTGAGAAATTCGAACCGAAACCCTCCTTAATGGCAATGACGTTTAACTTCCATCACAACACTACACACATTGAAGATTTCTTCACAATGTTTTCCACGAGTACAAAAGCTTAACTTGACATTCATATACGAATTCATTGTAAAAAGTTGACAAGATTTCGGATTTCCGATAAGATATTCTTGTAATAAAATTTAGAATGTCTTCGAATTAAGGAAGCTTTGAAGATATAAGTGCTCAAGCAACTTATTTTCGGAAACAAATTTATAGTCATCAATAATGAGAAATTATTCAGTGCAATTGCTGTACTATATAGGATTGTGTAGCCAGACACAATAATAAGAATAAAGTAGTAATTTTGGGGGGAGAGAGATAATTTTTACGAGAGTTATATCACAAAAATAGTAATTATATTTGTGAGTAGTTGTTATAATTATATTTGTATTTTTATTATATTTGTTCTTATAATTATATTTTTATAATTTTATTATAGTTGTATTTAGATAAATCCCGTGCATCGCACAGGTTTAACATCTAGTGGGCAAATTATCTGGTACACCCGAGGGCACCGTGTACCCCCCTGCGCGTGTACTTTACTCTCTTAGAATAGTGTGAGCTCGCTAGATAATTTAGCTTTCTTTTTTTTTTTAAACCTTCTGTGGATAACCAGTGTGCACACTATGGATAACTAGTTAAACATTGCTGGATAACCAGTGTGCACACTATGGATAAGTAGCTGGATAACCAGTATGCACACTATGGATGACTAGTTAAACATAGCTGGATAACCAGTATGCACACTATGGATAACTAGTTAAACATAGCTGAATAATCAGTGTGCACACTATGAATAACTAGTTAAACATAGCTGGATAATCAGTGTGCACACTATGAATAACTAGTTAAACATAGCTGGATAATCAGTGTGCACACTATGGATAACCAGCTACACACTATGGACAACCAGTGTTCACAATGTGGATAACCAGTGTTGGCAATATGGATAATTGGTTATACACAGTTGGATAACCAGTATTGACAATATGGATAATTAGTTATACACAATTGAACGTACCTTATTTCCATCATTTGGCAAACTGCCCCTCATTCATTTTTTGTTCTCCATCATTTGGCAAAATACCCCTCATTCAATTAAATACTATTTATGAAAGTGTTCGGCAGGGGGGCGGCGCGGCACCGGCGCAGCCGGAAAATGGTCGTTTAGTTTATCATGGGGGGATTTATACAAGTAATTTGTGTTCCCTCTTAACGCAATAACACACTCTCTTTACACACACACGGAAAAAGGATTACCTTAGCTAAATTGGCGTGTTCGGCGGGGCGGCGCAGCCGGGGCAGGTTGGTGACCTGCGATTCCGGTAGCCGCGGGAGTTGTTTAGTTTATCACGGGAGGCGAAGCCCCCCAAGTAACATGTCGTTTGCTTCTTTACCTCTGGATAACCAGTTTACAAGTTGTGGATAACTAGTTTACACCTTCTGGATAACCAGTTTACAACTCGTGGATAACCAGTTTACACCTTCTGGATAACCAGTTTACACCTTGTGGATAACCAGTTTACACCTTCTGGATAACCAGTTTATCCCTTCTGGATAACCAGTTTACAACTTGTGGATAAATTATGAATAACCAACAATTGTGTGTGTTTGTGCGTGAGAATGAAAACAGTAAAATGGATGAAAATAATTTTGTTTGTGCATTTAATGTAAAGGTGAAAAATGTTGAGCGCGTGTAGTGCGTGTATTTGGTGGGGATATACGGTATATCCAGGTGCACTGGATACGGACTCATCTAGTGTCTATATATAAGAGAGGTTGATTGTCTTTTCGGTTTATTCTTAGCACCTTGGTTCTCATTACGAAAACGTAAAATTATATTTAGTTAAGATCATCTACCTAATAATTTTGGAATAAGATCTTATGTGATACTTTTGTATTACATTCCATGTAATATTAACTAAAATTTTGACACGTCTTTAATAAGCAAAATTCATTTATCATTTGGTAGGGTGTCAATAATTAATTACTTAAACATGTATCAATCATTTAACCAGTGTTACATGAAGTGTCACACAAAATTTCACCGAAGATCTTATGCTAACAATGAGCAATTATAGATTATCGAAAAGAATAAGTGATAGTTATTTTGTAAAAAAAAAAATAATTTATTGAACTGTTTTATTTCAATAAGATAGATGTGGATAGAGTACAATATACATAATTATTCTTTATCTTTGTCCTTTTTTCACATTTTTGTTAGCATATTTTTATTCTATAAATCATCTTTCAATAAATCACTTCATTCATGAAATTCAATGACAATATAATAATTGCTCTAAATCTCCGTTTTCAAAGTTATTATATTATATTTAACTTAACAAACATTACTATAATTATTTGAAACTGATGAATTATTAAACATATCTTCTAGTAGTATTTATGATATCTCAAAATCAGATGTGACAAAAAAAAAAAAAAACTCAAAAAGAGAGATTTGGAGAGGACACCTTACTGAATGATACGTCCAGTTCACCGACAAATTCGAGGTTTTGAAAAAAAAAAAAAAAACAAAAACAAAACATCGGCAGTTTGAACTTAAAACTATGAAACAACTGTCATGTGCGACTTTGTGTCAAAATTCTTGTTCCTACCACTTTCCATATTTTCGGACAAATTAAAGAGAGTAAAAAAATAAAGATTACTCTTCTGTTCCAAAATTATTGTTTAGTTTGAGATTTCACTTTTAGTACAATTTAAACAAGAAATGAAAACGCAAACATGACAATAATTATGGGATTGAGGGAGTTTTTAAAAAGGGCTGAAATAATTTTTTACCAATTCAAAGGTGGAAAAAGTTGTTTTCTTTTTCTTTGTTTTGTATTTTTCCTCATCCTTTTGCTTACATTGGCAAAAAGAATAGTCCACTTGCTCTGTTCAAAGACTTGTAAAGAATTAGTTTCCTTTGTCCTTCAGATCTGAAACTCATTCCCAGTCATTTCTGGCAAAACACATGAGGTGGGTCTCGCTGCCTTTGATTTAAGGAAGGAAACCCAGGAAGAAAATAAACAGTTCTGGGTTAAAATAAATTTCTGCTGTCTCACAGTTCGGAGCTCCTAGGAAATGGGTATCCAAGGTAATGGGAATGGAGTCTATGGAGGAGATATGGAAATGTCTGTTGTTCCTCTGGGAACTAAGAACAAGTACAAGAGGATGGATTCCCAGTTGACTTTTGATGAAGAGGGTGATGATCATGATGATTCACATCATCATCATCATCAGTTGGAACAGAGGAAGATTACTACCCGGAAGTTTGTTTTCGCTTGTGCTGTTTTTGCATCCCTAAACAATGTCCTCCTTGGCTATGGCAAGTTTTTCTTCTTCTTTTTTCCATCTCTTTGCATCTTGTTCAGATGAGCTTTGACCAATAGTATGGTTTTGTTCTTGGTTTTCCTCTGTTTTGTTGACTGCTGATTGATTTGTCTGTGGTTCAACTCTGGATATCTTAATTCATTATGTACCATATAGACTTGTAAGAACGAAAATTGGAGATTGTAGATGGAAAAAGACACGCCCCTTTTTGAATTTCGCAGCAATTAACTGAAACTGTGTTGTTTTATGAACTTGTAATTTATGATATATCAGTTTTGAGCTAATCCAGAATCTCAAAATTTGAATTGTGTGACATATTTGAGTTATAATCAGTAGAACCACAAGAATAATCAGGCCAAAATAAATGGACTTTTCCAGCGTCTGGACATTGTTTTGGAACATGTTTGCTAATGTAAGGAGTATCTAATGCAGAGATAAGGAAATCTTTTACTCCCGCCGCCCAGAAAAATAGTTCACATTGAATTTTGAGATTTGCACCAGTACAAATCTCAGGATTGAGGGAGTATGATACAGAAAATCGGATGTAGGAGTTGATTGTATTTGGAAATGATATAGAAATCTTAATTCTGCATACACCTAATAAATCGAAGTCGTATTGGCGTGTATTATACAGGAGTTGATTGTATTGGGAAATGATATAGTCCTCTTCTCCATGGTGCTATGCCCCAAAGGAAAAGGGGAAAGACCACAGATGACGCTCAAAACGTAGATATTGTGCAGTTTTTTATTACTGTGACCTGGAGGTATTAAAGTTGATATTAATTTAAAGTTGATAACCTTTCTACTAATCTGCAGATGTCGGTGTCATGAGTGGAGCAATTCTGTTCATTCATGAGGATCTGAACATAACTGAGGTACAGGAAGAAGTGCTTGTTGGCATCTTGAGTATAGTTTCAATCTTTGGTAGTTTAGCTGGTGGAAGGGTATCAGATGTCGTTGGCAGAAAATGGGCAATGGGCTTAGCAGCAATTATATTCCAAGCCGGAGCTGCAGTAATGACTATTGCCCCTTCATTTGAAATACTGATGCTAGGAAGAATATTGGCTGGAGTCGGAATTGGCTTCGGAGTTATGATTGCACCTGTCTATATTGCAGAAATATCACCTACAGTTGCTAGAGGCTCCCTCACTTCCTTCCCGGAGATTTTTATAAATTTGGGAATTCTTCTTGGTTATGTCTCTAATTATGCATTTTCCGGCCTCTCACCACACATAAGCTGGAGGATAATGCTTGCTGTGGGTATTTTGCCCTCAGTTTTCATTGCATTTGCTCTATGCATAATCCCCGAGTCACCAAGGTGGCTAGTTTTGCAAAACCGAGTTGATGATGCTAGATCGGTGCTTTCAAAAACTAATGACAATGATGCAGAAGTAGAGGAGAGGCTAGCAGAAATTCAATTAGCTGCCGGAAGTACCGATGCAGAGAAGCATGAAGAAAAGCCTGTCTGGCGAGAATTTTTAAGACCTTCTCCTCCCCTTCGAAGGATGTTGATCACGGGGATTGGGATCCAGTGCTTCCAACAGATTACTGGTATTGATGCAACTGTGTATTACAGTCCCGAAATCCTGAAAGCCGCTGGTGTGGAGGGCGACTCTAAGCTTCTCGCTGCTACAGTTGCTGTAGGAGTGACAAAGACAGCATTCATAATTATAGCCATTGTTCTAATTGACAAAGTTGGAAGGAAGCCGCTGCTATATGTGAGCACAATTGGGATGACTGTATGCTTGTTTATGCTTGCATTCAGCCTTGCTTTACTTAAAGAAGGATCACTTGGAATTGCTTTGGCTTTGCTATCTGTTTGTGGAAATGTTGCCTTCTTTTCAGTAGGTATTGGTCCAGTATGCTGGGTTATAACATCTGAAATATTCCCTTTAAGGCTTCGTGCTCAAGCGTCTGCTGTTGGGGCAGTGGGAAATAGGGTGTGCAGTGGCATAGTTGCCATGTCCTTTCTCTCGGTTTCCCGTGCAATCACAGTAGCAGGGACCTTCTCCATATTCGGTGCAATATCAGCGATATCTGTTTTGTTTGTATACACCATTGTTCCAGAAACAAAAGGCAAGTCCTTGGAACAGATTGGGCAAATGTTTGAGGATGGTTACCACTTGCAAAGTGGAGAAGTGCAACTTGGGGATGCTGAGCGCCTAATGCAGAAACAATTGCATTCAATGGATTCTTTCCCTGATACTAGCTATCCTGCAAGTTTATGAGGTCCTAAAAAGCCTCCAATTCTGTCATTGTACAGAACCTACACTGTTTTGTTCATCAGTCAGTTGTAAGTGCAACTGGTGACATCCTGAAGCGAAAATCGGGCTTGTTCCATTAAGGCATAGGTATACATGCTAATATATATATATACCTTGTAGAAGATGCAAGATGCATTTACACATGTACATTGTGACAATTGGATTCAATGAGGAAAATACAGATTCTTTGGACGCGAAGAAGTTGGCTGAACCGAATTGTAAAACCTCGGTTAGCCGAGGTGGCACGCCAGGGGAATGTACTGGTATGATTCTTTGGGCACGAATATTTGACTGCTGGAAAACTTGGTTCATCCCTTCATCTTCATCATATATAGGTCTTAACCAGAAGTATGCAAGATTGCAAAAGGTTCTCTAAGCCTACAAAAAGGTTTGGCTGTGACTTAGTAAAGTCTATTAATGGCGAACTGCATGGACTTCCTTTGTGTTTTGGTGAAATTGCAACGTAACTCCATTCTTTAAGCGGATTTAATTTTATCATTTCAATGTTTCAAGTAATGTAGTTCGGATCATAAACGCGACATTAAAATAAGCGTAATTTCATACTGTTTGGACCAAGTCTGATTCAGTAAATAAATAATGACCAAATCCACTCTGAATTAGTAGGAAAGGGAACATGTTCCATGGGATTAACAAAAGGACAAGCGATTAAGAAGTAATTGCTCAACTACAATAAGACCATAGTGTGTGTGTGCTTTGTTTTTTTTTTTTTTTTGTTTTTTTGGGGCCAAATATTGATATCAGTCAACGTTCAAAACAAAGTGCAGGAGAGTCATCTATCATATCTGCAACTTGCATAAAACCAAAAATGGAGATGATCCAGCACAACTATGTGACTGTTAGAGGGCTAAAACATCATGTTGCAGAGATTGGAACAGGTACTAAGTTTTCAAAATTTTTCCCCAGTTCTGAACTTTGATTATTCTGGAAAATTTTCTTAGACTTTTACCTTTCTGTGATTATCATACAGGTCCAGCTGTGGTTTTCCTACATGGGTTTCCAGAAATATGGTATTCATGGAGGAATCAGATGGTAGCTGTGGCTAATGCCGGATTTCGGGCTATTGCCCCTGATTTCAGAGGCTATGGGTTGACTGAAATTCCTGCTGAGCCTGAAAAGACTACATTCAAGGACCTTGTGGATGACCTCCTGGATTTGTTTGATTCTTATCAGCTTCCAAAGGTAAGAATTCATCACTACTTTGCATCCAATAGATCTGACAGAATCAACTAATCTGAACTTATGTTATTTAAAACGGAGTTCTGAATTTGACCATATGCAATGTTCAGGTTTTTCTTGTTGGGAAAGATTTTGGAGCTCGGGTTGTTTACCATTTCACACTGCTTCACCAAGACAGAGTTTCAGGGGTTGTCACAATGGGTTTACCGTTCTTGCCTATTGGTCCCGATGCGACCCTGGATTCTCGTCCAAAAGGCTTCTACGTGATGAGATGGAGGGTGAGTTCGGGTGCTTTTTTCTTGGTAGGATGATTTGAATCAAATAGAATGTCTTGCCTTCTATCTGTTTTACAGTCAATTTTCCTTTCTGGAAATGTGTGCCTTCAGGAACCAGCGAGAGCAGAGGCAGACTTTGGCCGATTTGATATCAAGACAGTGGTGAAGAAGATATACATTCTCTTCACAGAAAGTGAGCTACAAGTTGCTAAAGAAGATCAGGAAGTACTGGATCTGGTTGATGAATCTGCACCATTGCCTCCATGGTTTTCTGAAGAAGATCTGGATAATTATGCCAAACTGTATGAGAATTCCGGTTTTCGAACTGCATTGCAGATCCCATACAGGTAAAACAGAACATATAGATCCATTAGTCTGAATCATATATACAAGTTCAATAAGTTTTAACTTGCGGGTTTCTCGCAGGGGCTGGTTGGAATACGATGGAGTCGAAAATCCAAGAGTAGATGTCCCTTCCTTGCTGATAATGGGAGAAAAGGACTATGCTATGCATTTGCCAGGGGTGGGAGATTTTATAAAGAGTGGAATGGTGAAAAAGTATGTTCCTGATCTGGAGATAACTTTCGTCCCAGAAGGAAACCACTTCATTCAGGAACAACTTCCAGATAAGGTGAACCAGCTTCTGATTTCATTCCTTAATAAACTCATCAAATGACCCTATATTAAGCAAAATAATCTGGTAACTGTGTGCAAGAGTGTTCTTGTTGTTCCCAGGCCATGTCAGCGATACGATTCTTAAATCGATTGATTGGATTAAGGCTGTTGTATTCAAACATTTACCTTGAATCTTCTGCTCGAATCCGTGCACTTTCTGGATGGCTTTCTGGATGTTAATCATATTGGCAACTATTATTGCCTTCATTTAAATCGGTTTCTTTCTTTTCAAAGTTCTTCATTGCTTGGCAAGAATTCTTGCGTTCCTTGACAAACACAGGATAAGCAACATTATTCTTCTGTAAAACTGAAAAAAAAATACCACTCCCTCGGTTACAACTAAAGGCCTTATAACTACGAGCGGAGGGAAATATTACTGAGCAAAAAATATTTTGCATCAGTTGATGCCGAATTGCCGATCAGATGAAGATTGCTCCTTTAATTCTCATGCAACTCTTCAAGTAGCAAGTAAAGTTTAGAGACAGGGAACTTCTTGAATAGTAGTTTGTATGAAATAAAAAAAGCTCCACTTGCAGAAATAATTTCAACAAGGCATCATGAAACAACAAGCTCTAGATGGTGTTTGTTTCAGAAACCTGCAAAAACTTGATAAAACCAGAAGAAATATCTCCTGCAAATATTCAGATTTTGCCATTCAAGAATAAAAGAAAACAGAATGGGTAAGATCTAAAGAAACCGCTGCTGTATGCGAGCACAATTGGGATTACTGTATGCTTGTTTACGCTTGCATTCAGCCTCGCTTTACTTAAAAGAAGGATCTCTTGGAATTGCTTTGGCTTTGGTATCAGTTTGTGGAAATGTCGCATTGTGTCATTTTTTCAGTAGGTATTGGTCCATTATGCTGGGTATTATCATCTTTTCGCTCAAGCGTCTGCGATCAGGGCAGTGGGAAATAGGGTGTGCAGTGGCATAGTTGCCATGTCCTTTCTCTCAGTTTCCCGTGCAATCACAGTAGCAGGGACCTTCTCCATATTCGGTGCAATATCAGCGATATCTGTTTTGTTTGTATACGCCATTGTTCCAGAAACAAAAGGCAAGTCCTTGGAACAGATTGGGCAAATGTTTGAGGACGGTTACTACTTGCAAAGTGGAGAAGTGCAACTCTGAGATGTCGAGCGCCTAATGCAGAAACAATTGCAATCAATGGATTCTTTCCCTGATACTAGCTATCCTGCAAGTTTATGAGGTCCTAATTGAAAGCCTCCAATTCTGTCATTTTACACAACCAAATCGGGATATTTTTCATCACTATTTTATTCATCAGTCAGTTGTAAGTGCAACTGGTGGTATTCACCATTAGGGCATACAGGCTAGTATATACCTTGTAGAATATGCAAGATGCATTTACACACCTGTACATTACGACAATTGGATTCGATGAGGAAAATACAGATTCTTTGGACACAATAAATTGGCTGAACCCCTTCGGTTGTAAAACTTTGGTTAGTCCATGATGTAAACGAGGGTGGCACACCACGGTGATTCACTGGTCTGGTATAATTTTTTGGACACGAATATTTTTTACTGCTGGAAAACTTGGTTCATCATGGGTTTGAACCAGAATATTGTATGCTTGCAAAATTTTCACCTAGTAGCCTACAAAAAGGTTTAGCTTGTGACTTTATTATTAAGGCCCAACTGCATCGACTTCCTTTGTGTTTTGGTGAGATTACGATGCAACTCCATTCTTTAAGCGGATTTGTTTTTATCATTACAATGAGTTGGGATCTCCTGTCGCACGTTATTTATTCCACCTTTATCCTACCCTCTAAAATTGCGTTGTTTTGTAATTAGTCTCAAAGTAACGTAGTTTTTTTGGATTATAAACGCTATATTATCATAAAACTTGGGAAAAAATTTGGTGATTTTCCCAAAGCTTTGACTTCGATGTCAATGCTTCCCAAAGGATTTCTCATTAGTCAATTTTGTCTAGACTGTTTAAACTTTAGCCAATTTAATCCAATTGGTTCAAATTTTGTTAATCTAACGAATTTTTGTCAGTTTTATTAATACAATGATAATTTTTAATTGCAAATATTCCTCTATAGTTTTAAAAATGCAAAAACAACCCTAAAAAATATGTTTAAAAAACAAAAAAAAGGTCTTTTTTTCATTTTTTTTCTTTTTTATTAAAAAATTTGTTCTATTTCAATTTCTAGGACCTTAAAAATATGATAGGGATCGTTGTTTAGATTTGGGAAGATAAAAATATAATATAGGTTATGCCTCCACTTTTGTATTAAAAAAACCAAAAGAATAAGGTTGTGATCTTGATCACCCATACTCTAAAAGAAGCCAAGGAATAGGTCGTGTATGTAGTTATTTTTCAAAAGAACTAAAATTGCAAACTTCAATTTAAGGTAAACTATTTTTTGTTTGGAATAATAATTTAAAACTTTAAAAATATTTATAATAATTAGGAGATCACAATAAATGTAAAAAAATATTTTTAATTAAAAAATATATTTAATAAAATTTTAGACAACTTAAAATATTTTTGATAATGACGGGTGGGAGTACTGAACAATTCGATTAAAAAAAAACACAGCTATTTATAGTGTTACGCCAATCGATTTGTAGTCATACATCACCGCAACCAGATGTTGCATGTGTGCCACACTTTCTTACTAATTTGTGTAAAAATCAAAGCCTGCTACGTCCAACAAAATGACAAAACAATAATAATTATTACCTCCATCAGTTCGTGAGATTACCAATGAGATCTTTCGTTTCAATTATTGTGTATCAAAATGGCCGAAGAATAAAATAAGCCACATTTCATACATTTTGGACTATGTTTGATTCAGTAATTTCAGTAAACAAAAGTTGTATCCTAATGACAATTCCCACAGGAAAGGGAGCGTGATTCAGGGGATTTACAAAAGGACAAACAATTTAGAAGCACTGGCTCAACCAAAATAATGCCCGTAGGCCATAGTTTGGCCAAATATTGATATCAGTCATCATTTTCCACCTTCAAAACAAAGTACAGAGGAGTCATCATAAGTTCATAACTGCAACTTGCATCAAACCAAAAAATGGAGATGATCCAACATAACTATGTGACTGTTAGAGGGCTAAAACATCATGTTGCTGAGATTGGAACAGGTTCTAAGTTTTTAAATTTCCCCAGTTCTGAACTTTGATTATTCTGAAGAAAAACAAATTCTGAGGTTTCTTTCCCTTTGTGATTGTCAAACAGGTCCAGCTGTGGTTTTCCTACATGGGTTTCCCGAAATATGGTATTCATGGAGGCATCAGATGGTAGCTGTGGCTAATGCCGGATTTCGGGCTATTGCCCCTGATTTCAGAGGCTATGGGTTGACTGAAATTCCTGCTGAGCCTGAAAAGACTACATTCAAGGACCTTGTGGATGACCTCCTGGATTTGTTTGATTCTTATCAGCTTCCAAAGGTAAGAATTCGTCACTACTTTGCATCCAATAGATCTGATACAGAATCAACTAATCTGAACTTATGTTCTTTAAAACGGAGTTCTGAATTTGACCATATGCAATGTTCAGGTTTTTCTTGTTGGGAAAGATTTTGGAGCTCGGGTTGTTTACCATTTCACACTGCTTCACCAAGACAGAGTTTCAGGGGTTGTCACAATGGGTTTACCGTTCATGCCTATTGGTCCCGATGCGACCCTGGATTCTCATCCAAAAGGCTTCTACGTTATGAGATGGAGGGTGAGTTCTGGTGCTTTTTTTTTTTTTGTAGGATGATTTGAGTTAAATGAGAATGTCTTGTCTTCCATCGGTTTTACAGTCAATTTTCTTTTCTGGGAATGGTGCTTTCAGGAACCAGAGAGACCAGAAGCAGACTTTGGCCGATTCGATATCAAGACAGTGGTGAAGAAAATATACATTCTCTTCACAGAAAGTGAGCTGCAAGTTGCTAGAGAAGATCAGGAAGTACTGGATCTGGTTGATGAATCTGCACCTCTGCCTCCATGGTTTACTGAAGAAGATCTGGAGAACTATGCCCAACTGTATGAGAATTCTGGTTTTCGAACTGCGTTGCAGATTCCGTATAGGTAAAATAGAACGTCTAGATCCATTAGTCTGAATCATACATTGAGTTCAATAAGTTTAACCTCAAGGGTTTCTCGCAGGGGTTGGTTGGAATACGATGGAGTCGAGGATCCAAGAGTAGATGTTCCTTCCTTGCTGATAATGGGAGAAAAGGACTATGCTATGCATTTTTCAGGTATGGGAGATTATATAAAGAGTGGAATGGTGAAAAAGTATGTTCCTGATCTGGAGATAACTTTTGTCCCGGAAGGAAACCACTTCATTCAGGAGCAACTTCCAGATAAGGTGAACCAGCTTCTGATTGCATTCCTTAATAAGCTCATCAAATGACCCTATATTGTCTCATGAATTTGAAGCAAAATAATCTGGCTCATGTGTCTTCCTGTTGTTCCCAAGTCATGTCATTTATAAAGCCATTGATTGGTGTAAGGCTGTTGTATTGAAACATTTACCTGAAAACTTCTGCTTAAATCCATGTTTTTTTTTTTCTGGATGTTGAATCATAATGGCAGCTATTGCCTTCTATTAACCTGGTTTTTTCTTTTCAAATTCTTCATTGCTTGGCAGAATTCTTGCCTTCCTTGACAAACACAGGATAAGCAATATTATTCTTCTGTAAAACTGAGAAAGATATCACGACCGGTAGTAGTAGTTTATGTGAATAAAAAGCTCTTTCATAAATAATTTCAACAAGGCATCAGTAAACAAAAAGCTCTAGATCTGCAAAAACTTGATAATAACAGTAGAAACATCTCCTGCAAATATTCAAATTTTTCCATTCAAGAAAAAAAGAATACAGAAATAGGGAAGATCTATAAGTAATGTCTACGGTGCAAAGTCATTCCGAGAAAATAATCAAAACGTAAAACTATAAAAAGTTGCATCAATTGATGCCGGCGTCTGCTACTCGATCCAATCTAATCCATCCTTAACCAATGAAATAGTGGTAAGCCCTTGGGTTCTAAGTGAGAGCCTGCAGCTCTTCTTCTCTTCATATTCATTGACTTCAGCGAGCTCTTGCTTTGCATCCAACCACTGGAAGGCTTTGTTAATTGCATCCTCAGCCTTTTTTGGGTCAGTAGAAGACTTAATTTTAGCCCTCATTCGACAAACAAATGTGTCAAAGTCCAACCGTGCTTCATGCTTCTTCCAGTGTTTCTCATCCTCGGCCTTATACATTTTAGCTTCTTTTATCATCTTTTCGATTTCATCTCTCGATAATCGATATGCTTCCACTTTTGAGGCTGATAGTCTTAACTTCACCTGTCTTTATCGCGTGCAGAGACATTCAAAATGCCGTTGACTTCCAAATCAAAGTCAACCTCTATTTTAGGGACAGCCCTAGGGGCTACTTGAATGCACTCCATCAAAGTTCACCCAAGAACTTGTTGTCGGCTGCTCTGGCTCTCTCACCCTCGTATACTTTAATTTCTGCAGAAGATTGGTGATCAGATACAATAGTAACAGTTTTTTTTCACTCTGGCGGGAATGGCTGTATTCCTTGGAATTAAAACCTCCATAACATCTCCTTTGTATCGAATACCAAGAGATAACGGGGGAACTTCGACAAGCTTAAAGCCCTGAACCTTCTCATTACCCTTGTCACTCAAGATTGCAGCTTGAACTGCTGCATCGAAAGCAACAGCTTCATCTGGGTTGATTTTATTGCAGAGCTCCTTCCCATTTAGAATGTCTTGTAACATTTGCTGAATCTTTGGAATCCTGCTCGAGCCACCTACCAGGACAACATCATCCACCGCATTCTTATTTATCTGTGCATCAGCCAAACATTTTTCAACCGTATCCATACACTTTACAAACAAATCCGAGTTCAACTCCTCAAATTTAGACCTAGTAACACTTGCAAAAAAGTCAATGCCCTGGAACAGGTAATCAATCTCGATTCTAGTCTGACCACATGAGGAAATATCCTCTTAGCCTTCTCACAAGCTGTTCTCAATCTCCTGATTGGTTTAGGATTTCCACTGATATCCTTGTTGTGCTACCTCTTGAATTCACTAATAAAATGATTTACCATTCGATTGTCAAAGTCCTCCCCACCAAGGTGTGTATCCCCTGCAGTAGCCTTGACTTCAATGTTACCACTTTTAATGGCCAGGATCGAGACATCGAAAGTACCGCCTCCGAGGTAAAAAATGAGGACATTCCTCTTCCCCGTGATGCTTCCACATGATCAAGACCGTAAGCAATAGCAGCAGTCGTTGGCTTGCCGATGATGCGTAAAACATTAATTCCCACAATCTCTCCAGCATCAATGGTTGCCTGACATTGCAGGATGTTGAAATCGGCAGGGACGGTAATAACTGCGCCATTCATAGTTGAGCCAATGTACTTCTCAGTAATGTGCTTCATCTTCATTAAAACCAACGAAATCTCGTCAGCTGCGAAATGTTTTTCCTCGCCTTTGTAGATTACCACAATCATAGGCCTATCATCAGCTCCTGGAATGACTTTGAAGGGGTAAAGTTTCATGTCATTCCGAACTGACTCATCACTAAATTTTGTCCCAATCAATCTCTTCGCATCTGTAATTAATTTGAGGAGGATACCGACAAAAACAGAACGAAAATCATCATTGCCAAGACTAGTGTATTAAGCCAGCGTGCGCCTTACAATCACCTACAAAGTGAATATTTAAAATGGGACGAAAACAGTAAAACCTCTATAAACGTAAGATACTCCTGTGTCCCAAAATTATGGTCCTATTTGAGATTTTACTTTTAGTATAAGTTGAACTAAAAATACAAATTTAAACTGGAAAATAATTTTCATTTCAGGACGGAAGGAGTAATTATTATCGGAACAAACAGTTGGACTCATCTAGACTTAAAAACACCTAAAACATGCGTTACTTGCCCATTTCGTTGTTATATAACCTCACCCCAAACGAAAATCCATTAAATATTTCAATTGGAAGACAATGAAAACAAGTAAAGTAGATGACTTGCCGAAAACGGTGTTGACGGGATTCATTGAAACTTGGTGCCGCATCGCTGGCCGGTGAGACGCTCTTAGTCGGTAAAAGCAACGTAAGAGGGAGTAGTTAGGTTGCCTTGGTCGTTTACTATGATTTCAACGCGGTCGTTTTCCCAGTAGTTCCCAAATCAATTCCGATTGCCGGATTTTGTTTTTACCACCCATCCTTGTTGATTACCGTCGGCGACAAACCAATTAGCTTTAACGCTATTAAAGAAGTTCGGAAGAGAGAAGTAGAGACGCAAACGAACACTATTAATTGCGTGCTTGATTATTATTATTATTATTATTATTATTATTATTATTATTATTATTATTATTTTGCTGGAATTTCACAACTATGGAAAAGGGCGAAAAAGAAAACCCCCAAAAATTCACCCCGATGAAATCCAAGGACATAAATAAATCTTTTTACAAAAATGAAAACAAAGAAAGGCAAAATGTCTACTCTAGAAATGTACTAAGTCGAACTTAGGCTTAAAAGACTCCTTCTTTGTAACCCCCAAAAAAAAAAAAAAACAGAAGATGATTTACCCATGGGACAACAAATTTCAGTGGGAAAAGAAAATTTGACCAAAAAATCTCCCAAGAAAAAGGAAAAGAATTAGTACTATCACATGTTACATGCATAATGAATCGCGCGCCAAAATGGCAAAATTATTGATGTCGTGTTTCTTGCCCAAGGTTAGTAGAAGTGATTTAACTAATCACTATTATTATTTACTTGATCGCGTATGAGATCATGAATGAGATGTCTTACCTTTATCAACTTTCTTAAAGTAAGGCAAATTTCATTATTAAAAGTGTAAATCTGCACATTATAAGTGTTATGGTTTAGTGAATCTTATTCGCCACCAATTGACACACAATTTGTTGGAGAAAGGACCTGTTTCTTGCTCTGAATGACCAAGAAAAGTTGCTCAATCACACTAATTAAGCAGCTTGCATTCTTGGCTGACAAACATTAATCAGACTGCACTACATGGAGATGATCCAGCATAACTATGTAACAATCAGAGGTCTAAACCTTCATGTTGCTGAGATTGGAACAGGTCCATCCCCAAAACTGGCCCTGTTAATTATCCTTCGCCTTATATAGAGAATATTCTGATGTTTCTTCTTTCTTGTGAGATTAAACAGGTCCAGCAGTGGTTCTTCTACATGGGTTTCCAGGAATATGGTACTCATGGAGACATCAGATGATAGCATTGGCTAATGCCGGATTTCGAGCTATTTCCCCTGATTTCAGAGGCTATGGATTGTCTCAGGTTCCTGCTGAGCCTGAAAAGACTACATTCCAAGACCTTGCGGATGACCTCCTGGATTTGATTGATTCTTTTCAGCTCCCAAAGGTAAGACATTGTTAAAACATCTTGGATCCTAATTCCACATCTAAATTAACATAAACTGATGTCAGTTGAATTATATCAAGCTGTGAATTCGATGATTCAATCCACAGGTTTTCCTTGTTGGGAAAAATTTTGGAGCTCGAGTTGTTTTCCGTTTTGCACTCTTTCACCAGGACAGAGTTTCAGGGCTTGTAACAATGGGTTTACCATTCATGCCTACAGGTCCCGACGCGTCCCTGGATTCTTTCCCCAAAGGTTTCTACATGATGAGATGGAGGGCAAGTTCAGTTTATTACTTATATGTTTTGTAGGATCATTCAGTTAAATTGACTAATCCTTCACAAGTTAATACAATACAATTCTCTTTCTGGCGGTATGTGCCTTTAGGAACCAGGGAGAGCGGAAGCAGATTTCGGCCGGTTTGATATCAAGACGGTGTTGAAGAACATATTCATTCTTTTCACAGAAAGTGAGTTACAAGTTGCCAGAGAGGATCAGGAAATAATGGATTTGGTTGATCCATCCACACCATTGCCTCCGTGGTTTAGTGAAGAAGATCTGGAATATCATGCCAAACTATATGAGAAATCCGGTTTTCGAACAGCATTGCAGCTCCCTTACAGGTGAACACAAAGAATTATCTCCAACTCGATTCATTATACAAGTTCCATTATTTTGAGTCAAGAAGTTTTTCGCAGGGGTTGGTTAGAATATGATGGAGTCCAGGATCCAAGGGTGAACGTTCCCTCCTTGTTAATAATGGGAGAAAAGGACTATGCTATGAAGTTCGGAAGTTTGGGAGAATATATTACCAGTGGAATGGTAAGAATATATGTTCCTGATCTGGAGATAAATTTCGTCCCAGAAGGAAACCATTTTGTTCAGGAGCAATTTCCAGATAAGGTGAACCACCTTCTAGTTGCATTCCTAAGAAAGCTCATCAAATGACCCCATTGCTTTGTGAAGTACACAAAGCAAACCAATCAGGGTTCTTGTTTGCAAATTATAGTACGTGTTCTTCAAATAAAGCAAGTTATTAGCGCAATGTTAATGTTGTAATGAAACATTTATAATTCCTGTGGATGGTTTTATCAATAGTTCATAGTCACATTGCAACCTACGATGTTAATCCTAATGTTATCCAATCACTCATCTAATATTCGATTGATCAACTAATTTTTTAACTGTTGCTGCAAAAACAGAACACTGAAATTGCATAAGAGTTGAAGATGGAATTCTAACAGTACGCCGAAAACATGAAACCCGTCTGCAACCCCTTGAAGAAAACGCTAAATATTTTAAAAGGCCAGTCTGAATTTTATCTAGATTCCTTCTACGGAAATGATTCACTTGTTCGTAAGCTGGAAATTGTGCAGTAGATAAGCATACCGTGCACCAAGAATTCAAAGACTAAGTATCAGCTATCTCGACGTACACAGCAAAAAACAACTAAAATCCCTTGCGTGAGAGAGAAATCGCACTTATCCAGTTATTCGGTATAATGCAAGGAAGATGCAAGAATATGACCTAGGTTTGAAAGAGTTCGGTGACTCATGCCAGGTGAGAATTCTGTGTTTGAAGCATTATTATGTGTTTAGGTCGCTGGGTTGGTGGCTTCATAATGAACATCGGCTTTTGTTTTATTACCTGTGCTGAATTATGGGAATTTTTTCAGGTATTACAACTTACGTGGGATCTAGGTTTGAGGCATGTCATTGCGGAAGTTGACAACCTAAGTGTGGTTAACATGGTGTTGCGTGACGAGGACATTGCTGGTATACATCGGGGTTTGATACTTGCTATTCGCAAGATGATGCACAAGACATGGTCTGTGAGTCTGAGGCATGTTTATCGGGAACGGAACTTTGCAGCTGATTCCTTAGCATCAGTAGCAGCAATCAGTGCTGGCGGTCTGAGCCGATTAGAGGAACCTTCGGATGAGGTCAATCCATGACTACAACATGATATAGCTGATGTCGCTTACCAACGTTCTGTAATAGTTTAATCTGTTAGGCATTGTGCCTCCTTTTATTGTACCAAAAAAAAAAAAACATGCATTAAATGCAGCAAACGTGAACGCACGTGCTTCACTAAGCTTTGGCCCCCTACATCCGGCTTTTTTAAAGCGTGCAGGATACGCGAGTCAACAGCCCTAGACCAATTACATATCAAAATTTTCGGTCACCTTTTACTGCAATTGAAATTGTTCAAAAGACAGAGATCCCCGCCGGCGACTTCACGATTTTTGTAAGACTCTTCTCCAGCAATTTAGTTCTCATTTCCGTTACAATTTCATCAATTTTTATTGATTAAATTTAAAATCGGAATGTAAGAATCATTTTTAGCTGCAAATCAAACTTTTGATGCTGTTTGTAAGGCATTGATCAGTATTCGTGGATTTCAACGGATTTTGTACAATATGCTTCACATTGGAGTTCGTCTTCTCTTTTTCAAGATCTATTCAATATTTATAAATATTTGGTCCTATATTTGTACTCGAAGGTCTTTGATGTGCTTGTATCTGGTCGTGAGGTTTTGTTGTTTCCAGTACTGTAGTGCTCTTGGCCTTGCTGAAAATCTGTTTGGTCTTTATATTTGTTTATAAGTATTGAATTTTATGTCGCTACTTGGTCTCCCTTAACAACATTGTGGTCTTTCTTGTCGGTAATGGTGGTCTTATGCACACGGTTTGGTATTTCTATTTGTTGGCTTAACAATTAGGCCAAATGTAGCAGTTAATAGTAGAGGCAAGGTCGATTGATTTGCTTCTTTGCTGATAGTATTTTGTAAAATGTTTTAGGTTGATTAATTGCAAAATTCACAATAGGATATTGATGGGAGAAAATATTAGTGGTTTTTTTTTTTTTTTTTTTGGCCTTTCTTGCTTTGAAGAAAGAATTTTTCTCTCTCTTCGGTGTAGAGAGAGAAGGGATGACAATTGTTGCTCTTCCGTGTCATTTAGTGTTTCTGAGTCTGTACCTAGTATGTACACCCCCTTCTATTTTTTACACTATTAGTTCTTATTGTACTTTTTTCTCAATCTTTCTATAATTTGCAAGTTTAGTCCCTGCTAGTTTTTTCTCTCCCTTCCAAAAAAACATCTCTAATCTTTAAACGAACATATTTCTCAATCCGTAAAGAATTTGTGAATAAATTATATATAAAATTTATATTACTCGTTGAGATCTATCCAACAAGATCCATATCGAATATTTTTCTCGAGAAAATGTCAAATTTCGATGGGCAGAATTAAGATGGATATACATCTTATTTTATATTGATATTCTTGTAAAATTTATATCTTTCAATCTGTAAAGAATCATAAAACAAATTATTCATGAAATTTATAGTGCTCAACAAGATCTATCGAATAAGATCAATATTGAATATTAATTTCGAAAAATAAAAAAATTAAAATACTCTGGGCAGAAACGAAGAAAGTATTTATGTTGGATAACCAGTACAAAGACATTGGACAACTATTTTTTCAGGAAAAAAGGGTAAAAGATGATTGGATAACCATTACAAACCACTAGGATAATTAGTGAAAATAATTAGATAAAGAGTACAGACTGGTTGGATAATCAGTACAAAAAAATTGGACAATCATTTTCATAAAAGAGCAAGGAAAAAAAAAGGTTGAATAAAATATAGCTTTGAAAATCAATAATAAGAGAAACTCTAGTCAAAGGAATAATTTCCACCTTGATGTATCCAACTGATCATTGATGCAAAGATTAACTCAACAAATCATGAATATATTAGTTATCGTTGTTGGAACCTCCTAACAACTCAATCTTTATTATTAATTACCAGCAATTAAGAAACCTTCATTAACCACTCTATAGCCAAAAACACTACCTGGAACCTCCTAGGATTCAGTTTTCAACAAACAAAGACCCAATTCAATTTCTAACAAATAAATCTTGTTTCATTAAAAATTGATTATTTATTCTCACAACACAAGTAAATTACTTACCAAGTAATTATTTGCAATGTCTCTTCTAAGGAACAAACAAACCTTGTTGTTCAATAAATTAGATTATCTAGGAGAATTGAATGCTACCAGCTATTCAAATAATGCCAAATAATCATTAATACACATCAAAGAGAATAAATAAATACTCAAAATTCGTTGGTAAAAAGCAAACAGTTAGATCTCACAATTGAATAACATCAAGGCTTCAATAAAATCTTTCAACTAGAAAAGAGGTTTAGCTACTAATCCTGAAAAAATTAATATTAAAAGAGTACATAATTTAAGCTTACAGAGCTAGTTCTGGAGAAAACAGAGAGAAAAATTTGAAACCAGAGGCTCAGAGCCTTCCTATGCCTCCTACAATCTAACTCCCTCAAAAAATAATAAGAAAAAGACAATTTATATGCAAATTAAGGGCATCCCCACGTTCAGCCCGTTCAGAAATCGCAGCAACCAATTAAAATTTTCAAAATTTGCAAATTGGCCCCTAAAGTTTGTAGAAATTATAAATTGACTCAAAAACTTTGGAAATTTTGTAATTTAGTCCCTATTACAGCGTGCCCATGCGGAAATACAACATTGTTGCTGGAATTTCCTGCTTCCTTCATTGATTTTGGCATGGATTTTGTGTGCCCACGCGGGAATCAACCACTTCTTCTCCAACTTGAAACTTGATTCAATAAAACCTTCAAAATCTCTTCAAAATCAACACTTTTCTTCTTTTTGTTCCAAATCCTTACTATGATCAAATTAAGAACCAAAGCACTAATATTAGCATAGATAATATTCAAAACAACACATAAACCACGATAAATATCATGCGAATATTAACATTATCAACTCCCCCACACTTAGATTTTGCTTGTCCTCAAACAAACTTAAAAAGAATAACTTTTAACTCAACTTGCAAACCACTACTTTGAACCACAAAATTTAGAAATCATTTAAAACACAATCTCAACTACCATGTCACACATGAATCATAAACTTAATCAATTAGGCAATCAAACATAAGCTCCTCCAATACTATGCGTAGTCAACAAGATAGTTGCTTCATTCCTAAACTCCATCAATGATTGGAACAAAATCACCTCACCAGTAAGTTCCCTCATTTTCTTTCTTCTTTTCTCTCAAGTGTAGCGTATCAAACAATTCACACAAATCAATATCTAGCAGAATACATAAGAATTTGAAAAGGCGTCACATCATCATACACCAAGCAAATAAACTTACTAATAAAGGTCTTTACATAGGGTTGTAATGGGGTTTTAGGTAAGGAAACGGGTGGATAGATATGGATGTAGGCTTATTTTGTCAAGATAGATTATGTATACTTAAACTCCACCATCTTACCATATATCCCATATAATGATATTGCTCATCCTCACACTTCAAAGTTCAAGTGTGCTTTGCATAAGAACTTGCAGTAAACTTCTCATATTACATTTACAAACCTATGGCATCTCAAAAATATAATTAAGAACTTGCCATACTCTCAAACAAGTAGAAAATAGGGATTCATGCGATTTTTTTCTTCTTTTTTTCCGGGTATTTTTCCCTTTTTTTTTGCATTTTTCTCTTTTTTTTTCTCGCACGCCCTATATTACATCAAATGCATAACTTAAAACAAGAACACATGCCACTATAATGTCCAACTTTTACCACAAATCCAGTTTAAGCAACCTAATCCAGAGCTTGACAAAAGGGTAAAGGATAAAAAAACAAGGCTAATGGTTTAATATATCTAGAGCTAAGGAAAAAATGGTCAAGGCTTGAATGGTTCACTAGGGGTAAACATAAATAGATAGGCTTTTTAAGCTAACTTGGCTAAATCCTAGTGCCTTTATTCTTGTGGCAAGCCATCTACAAGAGCACAGATGCGTCATAGCTCGGAAAATTCAAGATTAATCCATACTAGATATGATATACTTCCCACATAAAAATGTTGAGCATTCAAATACACTAACTCTATTTGCTCAGAAAAGCTCAGATCACTCAATTTAAAGTAACTTATTTGTGATAATATTTCAATCATTAACTTCAACACTTAAATTCACAACATATCTGAATAGTACATAGCAAAGAAAAATTTATGTTTTTTATGCTTCACTTTTCAACCTATGATGACTAGCAACATAACAGTTGAAACGTTTGAAAACAGTGGTTCAGACTCAAATTTTTGAAAAAATTTTATCAAAAAGAAGTTTAATTCTTTTAAGTAAGCAATTTAATGAATACAAAATTGAAATACACAAACTCCTCCCCCACACCTAAAGCATACATTGTCCTCAATGTATAAAACATGCAGAGACAAAGAATAAAAGCACATACAAACTCCCAAATAATATTAAAGAGAAAAAAAAAGGTACTTCCTTAGGAATTCGTAGTGGATGAATCAAATTTGATGTGAAGCGGGGAGTAACATCTTTTTGCATCGGATCAAAAGGATTGACCACTTAGAAGAATTTTCTTCGAAAGCTAGCTGTCACACTCAAACAAACCATTAAAAAAAAACCTAACTCTATGTCGATCAAATGATTAAGAAAAACTACGAAAATCAAGAAATCATGGATCTCAAGATCATCAGGAACAAAAAACTTAACCATATAATCGATTTATTGAACAATACAAATAACAAAAATAAACCATTGGGTTGCCTCCCAACAAGCGCCTTTCTTTAGTGTCTTTGGCTAGACACAGCATGTGTGTATCAAGGTAGAAATTTGAGAGCTCCACACACAATTAGAACTTGATACAACTCTGAATAGGCCTCAACAAAACCAATGTTATATGTCTCAAACTGATATTCAAGCATTGTATCAACAAACAAAGGTGGAAAATGATCTCCTCTAGATGACTCTTTAAAAGTATTACACACTCTCCACACGTAAACACAAACATGAAATTCAAAATTGACATCTATCATCCACCCAAATTCAGGAGGTCTAAGCAAATGTCCATATCCATGCTTAAGATCTATAGGTACGGATCTTAAGTCAACTTTTGATGGTTTCCACTTTTCAAAAATTGTAGGCACATAGTCAAAAGGACAACTGCCATTCAAATTAACTTCTGAAGCACACTTAGTATTCAAATTCACAATTTCCCAACCTAACGTCTTAACTCCTTTTGTTAATTTAATTCTAGCAATTTTTTGAAATGACCTCCTAAGAAAAGTGAAATCAATTTTATTGCAGAATTTTCGTTCAAATCAATCACATCAAAAGTAACAGGCAAAACAAAATGACCACTTTTCACTATAGATTTCTCAAACATACAAGTAGGAAATTCAAGACTCTCGTCAACAATATTTATAGCCACATTGCTTTTAGATAAATGCTCATGTTTTAACAAGTCAAATATAGAACAAGGTAAGTTACTCGAACTAAATTCACCAAGTTCAACTTGTTGAAGATTGAAAAATATAGTGAACATACCAAAGATCTTGCATTATGGAGTTGTTCGATTCTATGGGTTCCTGATGTGAACATCTATGGTAATCAAGTCCAAGATGATCAAGGTGTTCGGGTTCCAAGTACTGTCCAAGCTCAAGGAGTGGCTCAAGATCCATTATCCAACATTGGAGGCCCAATGACTCAAGCTAGAAGTAAAAGGATGAGGAGTGAACTTAATAATCTTATATCAAATGGTTTAGCCCAAGAGAATGTTAAGTCTGGAAGTTACAAGTCCAAGATAATTAATGTGTTACAAGGCTCATTTGAGGAAGGATATTTCGGCCCACAAACAAAGCAAGGGAGGCCAGCCCTATCTCCTAATTTTTAGGAGATAGGGGCTGTTTGACTTGATTAGAATAGGAGTCATTCTGTGAAGTTAGAATCAGTAAGTCATAATGACAAACTGAATAAAGAATCAACTATAATGATTTGCATTTATCATTCAAGCTAGTAAATTTTTCTTTTGAAAAATGCACAATTACACAGGCATGTTCTTGATAAAATATTTAGGGCATTTACTTATCAGGTCTCTCTCTCTCCTCTCTCTCTTCTCTGAAATCTTTCTTCCCTTCTGCCCATGGTCGGTGATCCGCCGCCGGCCATAGACCCTTCACAACAAAATAAACCATCGTTTGCTCAGATTTTTGAAAAGACAAATCCAAAAACAAAACAAAATCACTCAATCACAAAACAAGATCAAAGTCAGTTTGAGATTCATTCACAGCCAACGATATTCAAAGGTGAGCCAACTTTTCTTCTTAACAAAGAAGAGGATGATCAATTGGCTGCACCCTTCCGACTAGCCCTTGTAGGGAAATTCACTAAAGGCCGACTGAAAATGGATTATTTACGAAGAGAATTCAAAATTATCGGTTTCAAAGGAAACTTCTCCCTTGGATCAATTGACTCCCGAAATATCCTTATATGCTTCGATTTAGAAGAAGATTTTCATCGTTGTTGGTTAAAAAGTCTATGGACCTTTGAATCGCATCATATGCAAGTTCTAAAATGGACCACTGATGTTAATCCGGCACATGAAAGCTCTATCGTACCAGTCTGGATCTCCTTCGAAGGCCTTCCCATCCACCGTTTCAATAAGGCTTACTGGTGTAAACTAGCTAGTATCTTTGGTACTGAACTTCAAATAGACGTTCCCACCCTCAACATGTCACGACAGTCTATGGCACGGGTTTGTGTAGAATTGGATCTTCTTAAGGACCATCCTATTCGAATCAGACTTGGAGTTGAAGGGGCGACTTATTTTCAACCAATCTTCTATGAGAACATGCCGCAATATTGTGTTGACTGCAAGAAGATTGGCCGTGATCTTCAATCCTGTAGACACAACACCCGAACATCATCAACACAAAAGAAAGAATCACAACCTTCAAAGGATCAAAAAAAATTCAAACACAAGGGAAGCAATCAAATGTTGTACAAATCAGAGATGACTCCGAGATAAATCCATTGGCCTCCAATGTTATGCGGATCCCGTCTTTGTCAGGTGCTAATGGAGGGGACCAGATTCCGCCAACCATTGCCGCTAAGACCCCTTCATTCAAAAGCTGCGCAAACAACACTGCAATCGTCTCCGAAGTTGCAAGCTACTAACGACGACCAACAAACCTCAGCAAACCAGAAAGCCACCGAAGATATCACCGCTGCTGCTACTGAACACACCACCCCCATTGTTGCGACTAAACCTATTGTAGCGACCCAAATCATAGACGCGACTGAAACCCTTCAACCGGTTTCTGTAGTTGCTGCTATTCCAATGATTGAATCTGGGAAATCAACTTCGCTTCAATCTTCTCCGATGGCTGCTACATCGTCAATGGTGGAGGGCTGGCGAGAAACTCCAATGACAGCCGGCGAACTAGAAATCCCAACGATTTCGCAAACTCTAAAACTGAATTTCGTTGATGTGCAATCCTATGTTACCCAGACTCGACTGTTTAGGCCTCTGTACCTGTGTCGACACGAGTCGACACCGACACGGGTGTGAAATCCGTGCAGGATCCGGTCAGCCGAATTTGGGTGCGTTGACTTTGCGGCAAACACCATTGAAGTACTCCGGCTGGTAGTTCCGCCTTTTATTCTCAGTCATCGTTAAGGCAGATTGAGGGAGAAGAGATCCGGCCATGAGGGGCTGAAGTGATTGGATTTTACTTTGGTCAGCGGCGAGATGCTGAGCGGCCGAATTTGAGGAAGAAGAAGGCTCCCAGTTTATAAAAATTATATAAATTGCAGAGTTGGTCCATATTCTTAAAAATAACCTTTAAAACTCCCCATTTTTCCTAAAGTGCTACTTATTGGTTTCTTATTAGCAGTTTTGCTCCCTCACTTTTACAAAACCACAAACTTTTCCCCAATTTGAGGTTTTGTACACTTAGTCAATTTTCATAAATTAAAATAATATTGTCAATTTTAATCTATTTAAACCATAATTATATTAAATTAGTTAGTTAAAGAAGTATCCCCGTACCCGTACCCGTATCCAAATCCATACCCACGTATCGTAATTTTATAAAATTTACGAGTTCGACACTTAGATCCCGTGTCGTACCCGATACTCATACCCGAGGCTGGGTAACATAGGTGCAATCAACGCCCAAGATACGCGGAATCTCTAGTTAATTTGATTCAATTTCAAATTCTCAAAGCCATCCAGGTTCGAATGCAAAACTGACGCAGTCTGTTCCTTCAAGTGATGGTCATCAAGGCTCTCCGATAGTTGACGCTTCTGCGGATTATCATTAATCTCATTTAATTTCATTTACTACTGCACAAATTTTGCCTGTGGAGAGTTAGAATCCCCCTGAGAAGCAAATCTTTGCTGAAGTCGCTTCTGGTTTGCGGCCATCTGCTGATGCTGTTCCGCCACCTCTGGAAGATCACAAAACCATCATTGCCGGCGTTACAGCCCAAATTGAATCCTCCCAAAGAGAAGACACTCCACTGCCGGCAATGGAAGAGCGTCAGCAGCCACCGGCGATGGAGGAAACTCAGGGAATTCCGCACAACCCTGCTAATTCGCATCTGAGCTGCGTGTCAACTGCGCCCGCTGCTGTTGCGGCTGTTGCACCTATTGCGACATGAGCGGGAAAAAATTTGATCCCCCAAATCTACTATCTCAATCTGATCAGCATATCTTGCTTTTGAATAAGGAAAAGTCTATGTCAAACTCTCCATGGCAGCAAATCTCTCCCTCAAGTTTAGAAAAAAAAAATTCTTTCCCAAATATCTCTAGTAATAACTCCAGTCAAAGGTTAAATCCCGAAGCTCCAGAACTTACTATCTCGATTTTACTGCCAATTACGGCCCCAAAAACGTAGTTATCTAAGGATGATATGGAGATAGGGAACAATAATGAGCTCTTTAACCCAAGTTATTCGATTGAAGAAATGTAGTAATTCTAAGGGAGGACTAAATCATGCTCTCAATTGTTTTGAAGATGGACATTTCGATATGGAATACACAATGGAACAAGTGTCCTTTTATAATGAAATTTCTGCTCCAACATATCACAATCGTTCAAAAAACCAAAGCTAAAGCAAAAGTTTGAGTTGTCGATCAGCTCGATTGAATAAGGATTCAAATTTACTTTAAGATTAAAATTGTACTTGATATACGGTTTAGTATATTCGTTGCCCTATTTTTCCTTTATTATTAATAACATTGTTTTTAGGAGTTGGAATCTCTATCTTTTAGGGATAAAATCATTTAAATCTTATCACACTTGTGGAAGGATAAGATTTGGAAGATTCCTTATCTTTTAGAGATAAGATCATTTAAATCTTATCACATGGAAAGATAAGATTTGATATGATTCTCTTTTATCTAATTTAGAGTTTATTCAAAATAAGAAGTCTATTCCTTGGTGTCTAGTTTCTACCGTTGGATGGAGATTAAATCAAGATTGGATGGTTACGATTACTCTACAAAGAAGATATTGATAGAGTTGACAACTCAGGAAGATTCTTTTCAAGATAAGGATAAGATTCTTTTGAGAGAATATCTCTTTGTATTTGGAGTTTTATTTTCAATAGACTAGTGTGTCTTAAGTCTATAAAGGTGTCTAGATACATTGCCTTAATAGATAAGACACAAGTTGTCAATTAGAGGTTAAGTTGATTTCTATTTCTTTAAAGTAGGAATAGAGTTAGAGATCAAACTCTTCTCCTACTTCATAGGAGAATTTCGGCCCCCTCTACTATAAATAGGGGTGCTTGGCTAGCCTTTTATTTGTACCTTTGATGAATTATTTCAATATGAAATGAGAGGAAACTCTTTGTTCTTTTTTCTACTCTTTTCGAAGATTAGTGCATTGTTAGTTGTTCATTGGAGCCTTTTCGCTAGCCGTTCTATCCATAAATCGAAGGGATAGGGTTGTTAGAGAGATGACCGATCGGGTTGCTAACCTTAAACACTTTCTACATCTTCTAAACCTTTCCATCCCTTTTTGGTGTAAATTTTTGTGGTTTGCATTCTTTTCTTTTAATTTTTGTGAGTTGTGGAGTCCATAATATTGGATTTGCAAGTTTTCAAGTCCTGGGAAATTCATAGCTTCGGCGTCAAGGTAAATCTACCACCTTTGCCTCAAGATTCATATCAATTGGCCTCAGAGCCTTGGTTTTTGAAAACTTGCAAGTAGAGTCAAGTGCAAATTGATACTTTGTATTAATTGGCCTCAGAGCCTTGGTTTTTGAAAACTTGCAAGTAGAGTCAAGTGCAAATTGATACTTTGTATCAATTGGCCTTAGAGCTTAAGTTCTTGAAGACTTGTTTTTGTTTTGATCTACTAAAGCTCATCTTTGGTTAGATCTCTAATTGTTCTTTGAATTTTTGAGTATTTTATTATAGATCTCACTATTTTGCTTCGATTGTATTCTTGTTTGATTTGATTGAAGTTGTTATAGTTAGATCCATTATTGTTAGTTAAAAAAAATGTTTCTTCCCCTAAATTATCGGATCTAGGGTATCTTAATCCCTAATCCACTTCTTTTTTATTGCGTCAAAAAAAAATTAGCCGTGAAAAAAAAAAGTAAAAATAAAAAGAAAGATGGCATAGAAGGATATTGGTATTTGAGTTTGATTTGAAGTGCAATTACTATTATTTGCACATATCTTTTTTGAAATACTTGGATCATTGATGGCTAGGGTTTTGCAAATATAACCCCTTTATTGGTGTATTGGCTGAAACTAGGATTTTATCCATAACCCTAAGTCGAATCTTTTATTTTTCAGAATTTGCTCAAAGTTCTATTAGCCTTTTGTGAGATCTAAGTTTTCATAATTGTAACTACTCGATCTATATTCGTGTTCTTCCTTAGATCTTGTTACAATTATTTTCAGAACCTTACTTTTTGATCCTCTTTAATTGCTTCAATAAAGTACTTCTTGTAGCACTAGTCTTCATTGCACAAAGGATTAAAAGACAAAGACAGTGGTAAGAATAGAGTGAATCCATCTCTTACTAAATTCTAAACCTTCTTGGGAGATCTTGGGGAGTGAATAGAATAGTTGGGAGGGGTAACCAGGAAGTGAGTTCTTCGATATTCTCTTTCTTGTTCTTGTGTGTGTTGAGTTGTGTTTCAGGAAACATGGGAGACCAAGCTCTACCTCCTCCTCAACATGGAATGCTGAATGATACTGAGCAAGATTTTAAAGGTAAGATTGCGGCATTAACCAATCAATTGCAACTTATGACGATGGCAATGGCACAACAACAACGATGACAAGAAGAGACCACTCGCCAACAAGAAGAAACTGCTCGCCAAATAAATCAAATTGCCCAAGTTAGGGATCCATTGGTAAATCCTGGACCTAACCTTGTTGCACGTAGGAACATCCATGGTGGACATGGCAATGCCGGGCGTGGTCAAGGTGGTGGACGTGGTAATGAAGGACAAGATGGTGACCGAGAAGAAGATGGTCAAGGAGAGCGAGAAGAAATTCCAAAGGAACAAAATGATGATGATGGTGTTGAGCATGAAGAAGAATTTAGGCATGATTGACAAAGGCAGCCTAGATTTGATGATATCATGAACACTATCAAGCAGAAGATTCCAAATTTCGTGGCAAGCCAGATCCTGATGCGTATATTGATTGGGAAGATCATATCAACCGGATCTTTAATCTCAACAATTATTCTGAGGGAAAGAAGCTTAATTTAGCTGTGTCAGAATTTCATGGATATGCTTCTACATGGTGGAATGAGGTACAACGTCGGAGAAGAAGAGACGATGATCCTACAATCACCACTTGGGGAGAGCTTTCACGTGTAATGCGAAAGGCTTTTGTCCCAGCATCCTTTCAAAGGAAGCTTCGAGGTGAGTTGCAAGATCTTAAGCAAGGAAGTAGTTCGGTCATGGAATACTACCAAGATATGAATACTTTGAAGCTTAAATGTCAATTGGAAGAAGATGAGGAACAAAGTATAACAAGGTTTTTACATGGCTTGAACCTTCCCATTCGACATAGAGTGGAGTTACAGTCTTATCATGATCTAGATGATTTGGTGGATAAGGCCGACACTATTTAGAGGCAAATGAAGGAATCTTTGGCCGCAAGCAGAGCAAGGACATTTTCCACTAGTACATCATCCCTTGGTTCAAATCAGCGGGGGAGTACTCCTAAGAAGCAGACAGCTCCAAGTTCTAAGTCAACCTAAACAGTTGCTTAAACCGGCCGAGGTTACCAAGCCATTGGAGAAGACACCTAGTGTTAAACCGGGTTCATCTGCCAATGTTCAATGCTTCAAGTGTAAAGAAAGAGGACATTATGCATCTGATTGTCCCAATAAGAAGGTAATGGTACTTTGAGATGATTGGTACTATGAAAGTGAAGAAGAAGATGTGCACGATCAATCTAATATGGTTTTAGCAACAACCGAGCAAGCTACAACTAGTCAAATGTATGATAAGGGCGCTTCTAAGAGTGAAGATGAGGTTGTCTATGAGGAAGACGTATCTCGAGCTATGGTACTAGCTCATGCTCTTAGTATCCAGCCAGCTCAAGACAAGAATCTCGAGCAACGCACTAATATTTTCCATACAAGGTGTAAGGTGAATAATAAGACGTGTCTTGTGATTGTGGATGGAGGAAGTTGCACAAAATATGTGAGCATGGAACTTGTCAAGAAATTGAACCTTCCTACATTCAAACATCCTCAACCTTACAAGTTACAATGGTTAGATGATCGTGGAGAAATTAAGGTACGGTCGCAAGCTCGCTTACTCTTATGTTTTAAAACGTTCCAGAATGAAGTTCTTTGTGATGTGGTTCCAATGCAAGCATGTCATATATTGTTGGGACGTCCATGGGAGTTTGATCGAGGTGCAAACAAAGATGGAAAGACAAATCAGTATTTGCTTGTGCATAAGGATTTGTCTATTGTATTGTGTCCGTTATCCCCTATGGATATCATAGAATCTCAGAAAAAATGCAAAGAGAGAGAGAGACAAAAGACATGAAAGTGAGTCGAAAGAGTCAAAAGAGAGTTTGGGGAATGGGAGAGAATCAAAAGTGAGTGAGAGTTTGAGAGAAAAGTCAAAAGCTGGGGAGAGAAAAGGCAGTTTTTATGCTTCTATGGGAGACCTTGGGAGGGCTCTAAATACTCGCACTCCACTTGTTTTAATTGTTCACAAGGATTTATGTTTAACTAACACTAACCCCATTGAAAATATTCCTAGTGTTGTTAAAACTGTTTTGCAGGATTACGAGGATGTTTTTCCAGAAGAATTACCAAAGGGACTTCCACCTTTGAGGGGAATTGAGCATCAAATTGATTTTATCCCAGGATCAGTAATTCCTAATCGTCCTGCATACAAGGCGAACCCCGAGGAGACCAAGGAACTGCAACGTCAAGTCGAGGAACTCCTTGACAAAGGTATGGTTCGTGAATCTTTAAGTCCTTGTGCAGTGCCTGTCATTTTAGTTCCTAAGAAAGATGGAACAGCGTATGTGTGTGGATTGTCGTGTTGTGAATAAAATTACTATTAAATATAGACATCCCATACCTAGGCTAGATGACATGTTAGAAGATTTATGTGGCTCTTGCATATTTTCTAAAATAGATCTTGCTAGTGGCTATCATC